TAATCCCTCTCACACAGCTTAAAGGTCGCAGTCTGAGTTGGCTCTGTTTCACTCCAGCGCAGTTTTCGAGACAGGCTGGTCCCTTCACCAGATGAAGGCCGCTTGTGTTGTGGCCGAAACGTCGTGATTTTTGTTGTTTTATTTTTTTACCTACGTGACTTTACCGAATAGAACCAAAGAGTATGGATCCTTGCAGTCACGAAAGCTTCAAATCTAGAGTTGGTGCGATTATTCACAAATGGAAGAAACACAAAAGAACTGTCAATCTCCCTCGGCCTGGGGCTCCATGCAAGATCTCACCTCGTGGAGTTGCAATGATCATGAGAACGGTGAGGAATCAGCCCATAACTACACGGGAGGATCTTGTCAATGATCTTAAGGCAGCTGGGACCATAGTCACCAAGAAAACAATTGGTAACACACTACGCCATGAAGGACTGAAATCCTGCAGCACCCGCAAGGTCTTCCTGCTCAAGAAAGCACATATACATGCCCGTCTGAAGTTTGCCAATGAACATCTGAATGATTCAGAGGACAACTGGGTGAAAGTGTTGTGGTCAGATGAGCCCAAAATGGAGCTCTTTGGCATCAACTTAACTCGCCATGTTTGGAGGAGGAGAAATGCTGCCTATGACCCCAAGAACACCATCCCCACCGTCAAACATGGAGGTGGAAACATTATGCTTTGGGGGTGTTTTTCTGCTAAGGAGAAAAGACAACTTCACCGCATCAAAGGGACAATGGACGGGGCCATGTACCGTCAAATCTTGGGTGAGAACCTCCTTCCCTCAGCCAGGGCATTGAAAATGGGTCGTGGATGGGTATTCCAGCATGACAATGACCCAAAACACACGGCCAAGGCAACAAAGGAGTGGCTCAAGAAGAAGCACATTAAGGTCCTGGAGTGGCCTAGCCAGTCTACAGACGTTAATCCCATTGAAAATATGTAGAGGGAGCTGAAGGTTCGAGTTGCCAAACGTCAGCCTCGAAACCTTAATGACTTGGAAAAGATCTGCAAAGAGGAGTGGGACAAAATCCCTCCTGAGATGTGTGCAAACCTGACCTCTGTGATTGCCAACAAGGGTTTTGGCACCAGGTACTAAGTAATGTTTTGCAGAGGGGTCAAATACTTATTTCCCTCATTAAAATGTAAATCAATTTATAACATTTTTTACATGCGTTTTTCTGGATTTTTTTGTTATTCTGTCTCTCACTGTTCAAACAAACCTACCATTAAAATTATAGACTGATCATTTCTTTGTCAGTGGGCAAACGTACAAAATCAGCAGGGGATCAAATACTTTTTTCCCTCACTGTATATATTTTTTAAACCAACATCCCACTTGTGCTATCAGCAGCTAAGCAAATAGGTGACGCAGGGATGACTTGGAGAAGTGACACCATAGACCTCATCCCACTGTCCTTTAAAAGCCTCTCTTGCTAAACATTTTACATTTAAACTTCCACACTAGAGTGGTTCTCACTGATTCTGTCTACACGTTACACAATCCAAGCTGTGATTTTTTAAATTATATGTTGCGCCATTGCACGTTGGCCCCATCTCCTCTTCTACAGAAACCGCTTATTGATCTTGGGAGGCCATGTGGGAAGAAGACCCCAGCTCTCAGCAGCGCTGGCACCGTGACTAGTCAGGCAGTAGCCCACTGAGCTCACGGCACCTCCACATCTCTGAGCAACGTTATTTTTTTTTGCTGATGTCGATTTCCACTTTGTTCTCATGGGATTAGCCCTTCATGCCATTTCATTGTTGTGCAGGCAATCAGAGTTTTTACAATGTATGTACGTACAGTACGTACGTTTAACTTCTTTAGCACCGTACGTAGCCAACCGTGTCAATCGGGGGTGTTCGGGCAATCAGGATGCTGATGCAACACAAGGGGGCGGGGCGTAGCAATAAAACAAAGATGGGGACCATGTTCGGGCCTTTCACGGCATCCAGCGGCTCATTAAGCAACCAAATCGCCGTGCGACGAGAGGGAGCTCGAGCGAGCCCTTCTAGAGGGTAATTTGGCCTCCACCTCCACGCCAGCCAGATGTCTTGGAAGAGGTGGGAGTACCCACGCTTTACCCCGCCGCACGCGACCTGCCATCATACTGACTGCTGTGGTACCCATTTTTATTCTTCTGGGTGGACGGAGGTGGCCTGGGCATGGGGTGAAATGTAAGAAACTTTTCCCCATTGTTTAATTCGCTGCACTGAGAGTTCGAATTGAACTGGCGACCTCCAAGGAGCCCAGCGCGCTGACGCATCGGGCCATGGCAGCATCCCCTGCAGAGGGCACAAAGGGGCATCGCGAAGCCGCTCAGCTGGCCACCCACAGACACGCGCCTCTGAAGAATCTCCCGTGGCTGTCATTGAGGTGGCTCCAGCTGGCGGCGAGCCGGCTTCAAGGGGGAGTTGGTCGACACTTTGCGAGCAGAAGGTGTGAGCACTAGCAAGCTCCACTTCAGAGGGATATTGCGCGCTCCCCGCCCCCCAGCGCGCTGCTGGACACTCATGGAACCGACGCTATCCCACGGGGCAGGGACGGACATCTAAAGGTGCAGATCCTCCACCTGGCACAAATTATCAAATAAATTCTCTAAAAAAGGGCAGACCACCACCCTGCACTGCCCTGGCAAGGGAGCGCTTGGCACGGGGTGGCGGTGCGCCATGTAGGTCCGGTTGTAAGGGCCGCTGAGCGTTCTCCTCTCACACCCTGGGGTTGCCTGGGTGTCACATTTTTGATCCCACGTGTGAAACACTCGTGGCAAACTTCCCAATGCTCGGACCATCCAGAAAAGGTATGGAGACTCAGTGAGGCATGCAGCGTTAAATAAATTACATTCATATTATTGGTGTCGTTCAAATACCAGTACAGGTAGGATTCCATCTATCCCAATAATTCTGGCGACTTCTAAACCAATGCTTCGCTTTACACTTGTAACGTTACATTTTTAGAGGGTGAAATTTGGGACACTATTTGAAGCGTAACAATAACCCATTAATATGATTGGCAATCACCCAGGAGCGTGTGGTGGATGAGACTCCACAGATGGGGTCGATCGACTGGGTTTGCGGGGGGAGGGGGGGGGGTAAACTTCTGCGATCGTCTGCGTTGCAACGTGGGGGGCCAAGCGTGAGCGGCAAGGCCAAGCGCGCACACACGGGGGAGCCAGGAGGGGCGGTGGGTGGATCCCTGCCTCAGGGCTTCCACATCACAAGCTCTGCCATCTTGGATTTCACTCCTTCCATTGGTGCAATCGTGAAAAAAATAGTCCGAGGATGATAATTATTGAAAATAAAATAAGCGAATAGAGTACAAGTCAGCTGTTACTGGAGCTAATCGTTCAACTTATTTTGCGAAATGTTTCTTATTTTTGCGCGTGGCTTCAGCGAGTAGCAACTTACAGATCTATATACACGCTTGAAAGCGGCTGAAAGAGTGCCAATTGCGCATGGTGTAGTAGCTTTGGCTTGGACGATGTCATTTCCTCCAAGAGAATTGCCGTGTATGATGGTGACCATGAGGTTTCTGGTCGAAACCCAGCAGGCATCGTCACCCTTCTGACACAAGAACAAAGTGACCACGTGATATTTTGTCACCGCCTGACAGAGGAAGATCAGAGGCCAGAGGAGGGGTGGCGCGCCCCACAAGGAGGTGGCGAATCGACCTCACGGTGCTTCGGGCAGAGGCAGAGCTATTGGGGATGCAGGGGTGGCCTCGCTTAAGAAGCGCCCACTCGGCAAGATGTGCCAGCCGAGGGTGCCGCTCGCTTCGCCGCCAGATCCCTCGGGAAGGTGCTCAATTTTCGTTAAACAGTCATGACGGAGAGTTGGTCCACAACAGCCACTGTCCGGTATCTCTGCAGCGTGCATACGGTGTGACCATGGTTCACAAGATGATTAGTACAAGCGGTCTGCACGGCTGAGTTTGAATCTACAACCCAGAGCCTGAAGCAGGAGATGATCGTGACTGCATCACAGCCCCTGGCGCTGCTTTAATTGCAGCAAGAGCCACGGTGGACTGTGTGGTTACGTGTGTGGACCCTGTGTGTGGACCGCGTGTGGACCGCGTGTGATGCATGTGTGGTGCGTGTGTGGTGCGTGTGTGGTGCGTGTGTGGTGCGTGTGTGGTGCGTGTGTGATGCGTGTGTGGTGCGTGTGTGGGCCGTGTTTGGTGCGTGTGTGGTGTGCGTGTGTAGTGCGTGTGTGGTGTGCGTGTGTGGTGTGCGTGTGTGGGCCGCCTGTGGTGCGCGTGTGGTGCATGTGTGGTGCGCGTGTGGTGCGTGTATGGGCCATGTGTGATGCGCGTGTGGTGCGTGTGTAGACCGTGTGTGGTGTGTGTGTGGTGTGTGTGTAGACCGTGTGTGGTGTGCGTGTGGTGCGTGTGTGGTGCGCGTGTGGTGCGTGTGTAGAATGTGTGTAGTGTGTGTGTGGTGCGTGTGTGGTGCGTGGGTGGACCACGTGTGGTGCGCGTGTGATGCGTGTGTGATGCGTGTGTGGATCGCGTGTGGTTCGCGTGTGGTACGCGTGTGATGCGTGTGTGGGTCGCGTGTGATGCGTGTGTGGGTCGCGTGTGATGTGTGTGCGGTTCATGTGCGTGTGGTGCGTGTGCGGTGTGTGTGTGGGCCGCGTATGGTGCGTGTGGTATGTGTGTGAAACAAGCGGCATGGCAGGGCGGAATTGGTTATGCGGTGGTTCGTGCTGCACTTCGCTACGAGCCCGGCGACTCGAGTTCAATTAACGCTCACGACCAATAACAGTGGCAGATATTTGAACTGGTCCTGGGCCTCACCGAGGTTCGATTCATTCTCAAATGAGTACCTCGTTCGGTGTGTAAACATTTGCACTGGGGGGAGACAAAGGCGTGGCGTTGCCCACCCAAACCTTCGTGCGCTGTGCCGGCCTTCAATGGGCGCTGCTCGCTAACAGCACTTGTCCGAGCAGCGCGTTGAGGCTACACGGGGAGTCTCTGCGTCTGTGCGTGGGAGCGTACCTGTGTTTGTATTCTGTGCAGGCCACGGAACCACAAAATCTGTCCACGGCGAAGCTCTCGCTCGGCGTGATCAATCTCCTCCTCATCCTCCTCCTCGTCCTCGGGAATGTCGTCCTTGTGCGTGCCGTGCCCCGCCTCCTTCAGGAAGTGGAGGTGCGCCGTGGGGATGCTCGAAATGAGCTGCGGGAGAGCGGCATCACCGCGGCACGGGGGCGCACGGTGACTCAAACGTTGACTGGCACGGTGACTCATACAGTGACTCACACGGTGACTTACACGGTGACTGGCACGGTGACTCGCACCGTGACTGGGACGTTGACTCATACGGTGACTGGCATGGTGACTCACACGGTGATTCACACAATGACTGACACGGTGACTGGCACGGTGGCTCACACGGTGACTCGCACGGTAACCGGAGCTAAGCACAACTTCACGCACCCCGTCTGAGATGCTGAAAATATCTTCTTAAATAAACGAATAAATGCAACAGTTGCTCTAGGATTACATGAAGTTTAAATGTTGCGAACCAAAAGGCTGGATAATTGATCTTGAACCGTCAAGTTAATGCCTCACTCCCACACCCGTAAAACACAACGGTCTCCAGCACGCGTGCAGGGCAGGCGACCAAGAACAGGGATTGCACCCGGAGGTGAGCGACCGAGTAAAGACCTGAGCCGAATTGACGAAGCCAGATGAGACCACGTGGGCAGACACAGGGGGATGGGTGTGGACTATGAAATTGTACAGAGCGATTGTGAGATGTGGGAAGACTGACATGGTTATTGGTCGTGATGATAATTTGGCCTTCGCTTTTCTGCAACAACTACCCTGTGATAGAATGCCACTTCTGCATCCTGGCACGCCCTGTTCTACCATCATCTCTCTCCCAAGCGTCCCTGTGATGTCCCTGTCAATGAGCGCGACGTATCTGACTGGAAGTGGGTATCGTATCCAAGACAGCACTTTCTCTTAATACTGCCTGGTAACTTCACTTGTACAGATGTCTGTTTACACACGAGTGTGATAATAAATAATCACCCGACAACCTTCTTTTGATGTTTCTGAAATAAATGTTTTACTCAGAATGGTTCTGAAATGTAAATTGTCCCAGCCAACTTTTATGACTGAAAATTCATTTGATTTAAAACCACGTTTTTTTTCGTGATTTCAATCTTCTTGTTCTTATTTGCTCTATCATCTATTTGGTTGCTTTTAACTTAAAACTTTCGTGACTACAGGAATTCATATTCTTTGGGTCTTTTGGTAAAGTCACGTAAATAGAAAAATATAAATAAAGTTAAGAAAAATTAAATAAAATAATAATAATAATAAAAAAACACTGATGTAGACTGTAGCCTGGTTCTTAATCAGTGAGCGTACTGGCAATCTATAATGTAGACTATAGCCTGGTTATTAGGTTTGGTGAGTGTACTGGCAGTCTATAATGTAGACTGTAGCAATGGTTATTAGGTTTGGTGAGTGTACTGGCAATCTATAATGTAGACTGTAGCAATGGTTATGAAGCTGGGTGAGTGTACTGGCAGTCTATAATGTAGACTGTAGCAATGGTTATTAAGCTGGGTGAGTGTACTGGCAGTCTATAATGTAGACTATAATGTAGACTGAAGCCTGGCTCTTAACCTCGGTGAGCGTACTGGCAGTCTATAATTATAGACTATAATTATAGACTGCCAGTACACTCACCCAGTACACTCACCCAGCTTAATAACCATTGCTACAGTCGACATTATAGACTTCCAGTACACTAACAAAACTTAATAACCAGGCTACAGTCTACATTAGAGACTGCCAGTACACTCACTCTGATTAAGAACCAAGCTACAGTCGACATCAGTGGTTTTTATTTTATTTTATTATTTTTCTATCTACGCGACTTTACCGAAAGAACCAAAGAATATTTGGTTGTTGTTGCCCTCATTCCGATTCGGTTGCTTTAGCACCTGATTTCTATTTGCTCGGTGTTTGTTGTGCTCAGTATTCATCACATTTATGTCTCTTTGTCATGTTGGTGACCCTGGTCAGCCACTATCGCCAATTTGGGACTCATCCTGGTGGCTTCAGTTCTCACTTGGCTGGACCGGCTCTGCCGCCACTGACCGGCTCTGCCGCCACTGACCGGCTCTGCCGCCACTGACCGGCTCTGCCGCCACTGACCGGCTCTGCCGCCACTGACCGGCTCTGCCGCCACTGACCGGCTCTGCCGCCACTGACCGGCTCTGCCGCCACTGACCGGCTCTGCCGCCACTGACCGGCTCTGCCGCCACTGACCGGCTCTGCCGCCACTGACCGGCTCTCCCGCCACTGACCGGCTCTGCCGCCACTGACCGGCTCTCCCGCCACTGACCGGCTCTGCCGCCACTGACCGGCTCTCCCGCCACTGACCGGCTCTCCCGCCACTGACCGGCTCTCCCGCCACTGACCGGCTCTCCCGCCACTGACCGGCTCTGCCGCCACTGACCGGCTCTCCCGCCACTGACCGGCTCTCCCGCCACTGACCGGCTCTCCTGCCACTGACCGGCTCTGTGTGTGTGTGGGGGGGGAGGTTTGATCCTGTTACCGGGGAGCGATGCATGCACCGCTCATTGTGGTTACCTGTCCCCACAGCAGCTCGCCCAGTGATAAGAAGATGCACCACAGCCATTGGTCGAACTTGAGGCCTGTGCAGCTGAAGGGTTTCCCACCAAACTGCACAATGACAATCTGTACACATCATACAGCCGCGGTTAGGTCATTGCTACGTCATTAATATAAAATAAGTTACTTGTGTCCCGATATCATAACGCACAATTTCAAAACTATTACCATATGTAGATTTTTTCAGTTAGGTGACGTAATGCAACGATCAGGCCAAATTTGTGTTTGAAGACCGTCCACCACCTGACATAGCCAAACCAATGAAATTGTTGAGTGTTCAAGCGTTTAACGCGCCAATTATTATCGTTCACTGGAAAGTTGAATAACGATCCCGCAACCAAAAACAGCAATTAACACAAATAAATCATGGCTAATAATATCGTCTGTGAAAATCACCGTGTCAAGGTATTGCCACACCGATGGAATTGGCTCGACGCAGACGACCAGTGGAGCTCACGGTTAACGGGCTAACTCCATTGGTCGCTGCAGCCGCCGTTTATCATCCGAGGCCCCCGAGTATCGCTCGTCACCGAGCAGCGCTTGTAACAAAAGTGCCCGTACACCAATCGTGCAACTTTTAACAGCGCACGGCAAACGCTCTGAGACGAGACGGAGGCAACGTGTCGCGTTCGCCCCCCGCCCGCACCCTTCCCCCTCTCGGAGGCACGACCTGGATGATGAAAGTGCCGACGACGATGGAGCAGAAGATGGGGTTGCGGTAGATGCCCTCGAAGACGTTGCGCTCCCCGTGGATCTTGCGCGCGTTGATCTCGTTGAAGAGCTGCATGAGCACGAAGGTGTGAACACGATGGTGTAGTGCTCCGAGGGCGGCGCGTGCAGCGGCGCGTTGCGCCCGCTGTCCACGTCAAACAGCGTCTCGCCTGAACACGAAGCCCACAACGATGAAGCCCACAAGGACGATGACGACGATAAAGACGACAGCAGCAGCAGCAGCGTTCGTATACCGTTCAGTGTTATGGCACGCATTGAGCTGCGCGCCGGTGTCAATAGCGAACACGCTCAACTCGCAGTCCTGACGTCGTCGGTTCGACTCCATCTCCCGGCGAGGCAGTTGGCTAGGCCGAGTCGAGTGCGCACCCGAAAATCCGACCCACTGTAACCACGGCAATATATATTTTTTGTTATTCGTAGTCTTGAACTCAAAGTGACTGCTACTTCAAATATCGTTTCCCGTTAATTATCGCATCATTGACGGCCCTTACAATTGGCGCTGCCTGTATTGTCTGTGAAAAATGACCCACCTCTCACGCCGGTTTCCCCTTTTGTTGCCTCGCATAATGTTCCCGCAGTTTATTATTTCAGCCTTACTTTTGACAGATCTTCACTGCGGCGCGGTAAATCCTTGGGAATGAGGTGATGAGAGCCCTTTCTCAGCTGCAAATTAAAGTGATTAGTTTCTCTGGGCTGACACGTTTGTCACACCTGCTGAAGAATGGGATGCTAAACAAAGCAAAGGAGTCGCTCGGCTCCATATAGACGTAACTGTCAATAATGGAAACACTGTACTAACATTATCATGATAATTGGGGGAGTGGTTACAGTGGTTAGCGCACTGCACTATGCAACCAGATGTCTCAGTTTGACTCCCAGCCACCGCTAGCATCAGTGGCGAGTGATACGTGAACCGGACCTGAACCCCATCATTCACAAACCTGTCGTGACCAGCGTGGTGAAGTATGGTCAAACAACTCCCATGCCCGACACAGGGAGGTCTCCATCGAGCAGTGCATCGACAAGGAACTGTTGTAGTATATATCTTTAAATTATCGCCATAATTAGCCTTACAATGTACTAACCCTTTAGGTCCTTAATCACGCTGAGCTAACAGAGTGTTGATGGGCTTGAAGTGAGACTGAAGATGCATGTTTATGATGGTATGTTGTTACTCGCTTTCATAACTCTTACGTGTTTCTTATCTATTTGCACTTCTTACAGCACCTTCACACTTGTTGCCCATTACTCTTTTTCTCTGATGCAACTATTCACAATTTTTTAATTGTGTTTAAATATATATTATTTGCTTTTTTTACATTTGCGAAACAACGACCACCGATCGGAGCCCCAACAGCGGGCGTGTGCGCGAGGGACGTCACGGTCGCCACCGCGGTCGGCGGAGAGCGGTACCGGTGAAGAGCAGCGTGAAGATGACGGTGAGCTGGTAGACGGCGTGGCCCAGGATGTTCTTCATCATGGTGCGCGAGATGAGCGGTTTGTTGCGCCCGTACGGCCGGCGCAGGAGCAGCGCCTCGGTGGGCGGCTCGGTGGCGAGCGCCAGCGACGCGAACGTGTCCATGATGAGGTTCACCCACAGCATCTGCACCGCCTTGAGCGGGGAGTCCTGGGCACGAAAAAGACGCGGGCGGAACGGCTTCCCCCCCCCTCCGTCGGCACGGCGCACACGAGGGACCCTGACGATCGCGGCGACGGCAAGCGCCAGGGCCGTGTGAAACCCAAGGGAGCTTCTTGGCCTGAGTGGCGGGCGTCGCTACACCGGACGGTTCACCCGCAACCCAAGCGGGCCTCTGCGAACTTCCTGTCTGACCGTGCCGAGTCCTCGTCTACCACTAAAGCACGACGCTCTGACACTCGTCTCTCTATCTTGCAGGCAAGCGTCTGACAAACCGGCATCCTCAAGCTGGACTGAGAGAGGTCAGCCGCCAATGCAGGCCGGCTGACAAACACCTACAGTGAGGAAAAAAGTATTTGATCCCCTGCTGATTTTGTACGTTTGCCCACTGACAAGAAATGATCAGTCTAGAATTGTAATACTAGGTTTATTTGAACAGTGAGAGACAGCTATGAGACACTCTACACCTATGAGACATTCTACACCTATGAGAAACTCTACACCTATGAGACATTCTACACCTATGAGACACTCTACACCTATGAGACACTCTACACCTAAGAGACACACTACACCTATGAGACACTCTACACCTATGAGACACTCTACACCTAAGAGACACTCTACACCTATGAGCCACTCTACACCTATGAGACACTCTACAACCTATGAGACATTCTACACCTATGAGACTCTTCAACCTATGAGGACACTCTACACCTATGAGACACTCTACACCTATGAGACTCTACACCTATGAGACATTCTACACCTATGAGACTCTCCACACCTATGAGACACTCTACACCTATGAGACACTCTACACCTATGAGACACTCTACACCTATGAGACATTCTACACCTATGAGACTATCCACACCTATGAGACAATCTACACCGATGAGACACTCTACACCTATGAGACACTCTACACCTATGAGACATTCTACACCTATGAGACTCTCCACACCTATGAGACACTCTACACCTATGAGACACTCTACACCTAAGAGACACTCTACACCTATGAGACACTCTACACCTATGAGACACTCTACACCTATGAGACACTCTACACCTATGAGACACTCTACACCTATGAGACACTCTACACCTATGAGACATTCTACACCTATGAGACTATCCACACCTATGAGACACTCTACACCTATGAGACACTCTACACCTATGAGACACTCTACACCTATGAGACATTCTACACCTATGAGACACTCTACACCTATGAGACACTCTACACCTATGAGACACTCTACACCTATGAGACACTCTACACCTATGAGACACTCTACACCTATGAGACATTCTACACCTATGAGACTCTCCACACCTATGAGACACTCCACACCTATGAGACACTCTACACCTAAGAGACACTCTACACCTATGAGACACTCTACACCTATGAGACACTCTACACCTATGAGACACTCTACACCTATGAGACACTCTACACCTATGAGACACTCTACACCTATGAGACACTCTACACCTATGAGACACTCTACACCTATGAGACACTCTACACCTATGAGACACTCTACACCTATGAGACACTCTACACCTATGAGACACTCCACACCTATGAGACATTCTACACCTATGAGACACTCTACACCTATGAGACACTCTACACCTATGAGACACTCTACACCTATGAGACACTCTACACCTATGAGACACACTACACCTATGAGACACTCTACACCTATGAGACACTCTACACCTATGAGACACTCTACACCTATGAGACACTCTAGACCTATAAGACACCCTACACGTACGTGCATGTAGGGTGTCTAATGTCGCCGCTGGACACTCGCCAGATGTTCTGGGGAGTTTGTCAAGGTATGGGTAAAACTACGCCACCCTTTCCTCTGAGTGACATCGGGATGTAAGGTTCAGGCTGTACTCACAACACCGCGCAAGGCGCCACAGAAATAGAAACACGTTCGCCGAGCTTGGAGAGAGGCCCACCTGCGTGATGCAGGCCCCCGTGAACGCCACGATGACGGCTACCACGTTGACCGTGAGCTGGAACTGCAGGAACTTGGAGATGCTGTCGTAGACGTTGCGCCCCCACATCACCGCCTTCACGATGGAGCTGAAGTTGTCGTCCGTCAGGATGATGTCCGACGCCTCCTTGGCGACGTCGGTGCCCGCGATGCCCTGGTGAGCACAGACGGGCACGCAATCCGCCCGTAACCCTCACTGGTAAAAGTGCACAGCCCTGCAGTAGCTCCTCCGGATGCTATTTGCCCTACACGTCCACGCTGGCCGGACGTCCGGGAGGAGGTGCGAGTACCCAGACGTCATTCCACCGCACGTGACCTGCCGATCGACAGACCGTGGTGAACTCATTGCTGCTCATTGCTGCAAGTGTGAACAAAGGTTGGAGGGGGGGGTGGGATTTAAGAAACTTGCATCGTTGCTTTAGCCGCCGCGCCGGGAGCTCAAATCTAACTGACGGCTTCTGGATTGCAAGCGCAGATCGCTCATCGTGGCAGGATCCCTTAACCTGTCATGGTCCGGGTTACTTCCAGCAGTACGTCAGGCGGGCACTGCTTATACGGTCGTCCTGTAACCACGGCGAATAAAGCCTCACGTCAATCTAAATGCAGGTTTTATAACGTAAAGAAAGCGTTTTTTTGGGATTCATAAATCATTCAAAGGCAACTGTGCTGTAGGCTTCACAGGCAGATCTCCAATTGGCATGTTTGGCTACGTACGGCGCGGAAGAAGTTCAACATACTTACATCTCTAGAAATACAGAGTGGTGGTCACAGGCGGAGAACTACTATTAAATTCAACTATTTTTTATTTTACCAGGTAAGGCCCACTGAGGATATATTACTCTTTATCAGAAGCGACCTGGCCACAAATGATATCTCAACAAAGTGCGTTTTCACGTGGCAATTTATAGCAGCCAAATACTCTAAACGCATGTTGATTCCAAATGTAGAGGGGAAAAAACGGAGAAAAATCTACGCGACCACGGGGAGAACACGCAAATTCCAAATATACAGCAGCAGGCGTCAGGGTCGGGATCTAATCCACGACCTCCTGTATACCAGGCGAGGCAGTTAACATCTCGCCACCAGGGCACCCCACGTAAGAGGGAGGGGGTCCTGGGCCTGGACTGGAACAGGGCCCCAACAGGGTAGACACCATAACTTTCACACACGCCGTACAGAGACCACGTCGTGAAAGGCAAGAGGTTCACTGTGGGTGCAGGTGACACCCCAGGGGAGCTCACTCACACAGTCACTCACGCAGTCACTCACTCACTCAATTCCAGCAGCCACTCTGGGCACACCGGCTACTGTGTGAACATTTAATACTCCTCTCTGGTTTCGTCAGCACAGGCTTTGTATTTTTGTATTTTCATGTAATATCCCGAGCTTGGGGGGACAACGGCTATTGCAGAATCCCCGTAATGCAAATGAAAACGGCTAACCGACAGTGAGGAACACACAGAGTTGGAATGGGTGAACCTTCGGGGTATTATCCATGACTGATAGATAAAAATGCCATTCTGGCATTTCCAAACCTCGATATTCATATCTTTAACAGTATTTTATCATTATTATTAAACTTCTTTGCCCTGGAAAGCCTCAAGATTATTTTTCTGGAGAATGTTCCTGCCAAGATTCCGCAGGAGATGGCCGTGTGGCAATGCTGCTGCTGCGTGTACCCCATTGGGTAATTGGGAAATCACTTTTCAGCATTGGAATATGTGGCCAATAGCAGTAACATTGCATGGTTTGTCTTTTTAGCGATGGGAGGAAACTGGAGAACCGAACCCGGAGGAAACCCACGCAGAGCAGGGGGGAAGGGGGAGAACATTCAAACGCCACGCAGACAGGCACCCAAATCAGGAATCGAACCCAGGTACTTTCTGCTGCGAGGTATGAGTGTTACCGCTGCGCCACCACCCCGCCGTCCACAGCAGCGTGATACCGCTTGGTTGATATTGTTCCTAAATATTCGTACTTTATTTTTTTAAACGTTCAACTTTGTCTGTGAGAAAGCATTCTGACCATATGGGAATAACAGAGCATACGTTTGAGCTCAGGCTAAATGTTCACCACCCTCAGAAATCGGTCGCAAGTTCAACTGGCACAGCTGACTCCAATCGTGTTGGCCACCTCGCCAGAGGAAAGTGCTTGTGAACAGGAGGGAGGGGAGGGCCTCCCCCCAACCTCCCCCCCCCACCCTGGATCCGCAAACTGCCTCCGTGAAGAGTCTAACTACAAACGTAGACCGTCGAATGAGACTCGTGGGAGTTGGGAAGCGATCGTCTTTGGTCCGTGGCATTTGCTTGGTGCAGCAGCAACGGAGCAGTGACCGAGCAGCAATCGAGCAGCAACTGAGCAGTAACCGAGCAGCAACCAATCAGCAATGGAGCAGCAACAGAGCAGCAACAGAGCAGCAACTGAGCAGCAACTGAGCAGCATCCGAGCAGCATCCGAGCAGCAATCGAGCAGCAACTGAGCAGCAGCCGAGCAGCAACGGAGCAGCAACGGAGCAGCAATGGAGCAGCAGCAACAGCAGCGACCGAGCAGCAACGGAACAGTAACCGAGCAGCAACCAATCAGCAATGGCAGCAGCAACAGAGCAGCAACTGAGCAGCAACTGAGCAGCATCCGAGCAGCATCCGAGCAGCAATCGAGCAGCAATCTGAGCAGCAGCCGAGCAGCAACGGAGCAGCAACGGAGCAGCAATGGAGCAAGCAGCAACAGCAGCGAACGAGCAGCAACGGAGCAGCAACAGAGCAGCAACCAATCAGCAATGGAGCAGCAACAGAGCAGCAACAGAGCAGCAACTGAGCAGCAACTGAGCAGCATCCGAGCAGCATCCGAGCAGCAATCGAGCAGCAACTGAGCAGCAGCCGAGCAGCAACGGAGCAGCAACGGAGCAGCAATGGAGCAGCAGCAACAGCAGCGACTCCGAGCAGCAACGGGAGCAGCAACAGAGCAGCAACTGAGCAGCAATTGAGCAGCAACCGAGCAGCAATCGAGCAGCAACTAAGTAGCAACCGAGCAGCAGCAACCGAGCAGCAGGGGGCGCAGAGTGGCGGTTTCTCTACCGATGTGGGCGGGAGCGAGCGCGTGCACGGCCATGGAAACTAACTCCAGTTGCCAGCGATTTCAGCGCCCACCACCGGTGCGTCAACATTTTCAATATGGAACACAGGCACGGGGTGCCAATAGGTTAACGGTGCCTCGTATTTTTCTGTTTAATAAGTTACGGATTTAATGTTATTCGCGCAAACTTCATCGACGGGAGGTGTGTCCGTACTCCCCCCGTTCTGCACTGGTGTCCTCAAGGGTTTCTCCAGCTTTCCTCCCAGAGATAGAAAAATCTCAGAGCAGTGTGACTGGTGTTGGCCAAACATCCCAATGCTGAAAATGTTACCTTCAAATAATAAAAATGGGATTGCACAGCAGCAGCAGCAGCATATCCCTCCTTCAAAAAACCCTGGCAGGGCCCTCCTAAAAAAGAGCCCTGAGCTACGGTGAGATTGTTCTGGGTTAACGAGGGTTGTAATACGAAATAATAACAAAAATAAAAGTCGATCTTCATTAGCAGAAACTAAGACTGTATGTGTTCATATAATAATAGTATCGCACATTATTCATATTTCAAAGACAACTTGAACACTATTTGTCCATATCAGTATTTAGACATGTAGCATTTTTTGCTATATTCTGTCAATTGACCATACTCTTTGGTTCTTTCGTGACTTTACCGAAAGAACCAAAGAGTATGGATTCCTGCAGTCACGAAAGCTTCAAATCGAGATTTGGTAATTGGACCAGTTTACCAAGATGGCACTTGAGACAGACACGTCTGTCTGCCGCAGGGACAGCTGTTGGTGAAAGGACACCACGAAGCACATTTCTTGGGTGCTCAGACTTCCGATTTCATCAGGAGAAACCCTATTTTTTACCATGGGTTTGACCCAATAAGTGGCGTAAACCCCCGTTGGATTTAACGGTTAATCATCGAGCGCCATTACACTGCACCAGCCACGCCGCCGCTTCGTGACCCTTGCCAGTGCAACTCGCGTATATCGCCAGGCTCCAGAGGCATGAATTAACCATGGTCACACTCGACGAGCACTGTAACCCGAGTGCTCCGCTAAATGTGCTCGGGCTAATGGCCACCGGCGGGACTGAAACGGGTCAGTCGCACGGATGGAGCGGGTAGCTGTGCTATGCCAACTTCGCCGAAGAGAATGTAAACTTCCGGAGCTGCCGCCTGACGTCCGTCCGTGACGGACCCGAATCTGCTCGGATGCTATGATGCTCTTTTGCAACGTCGCGATTTGCTCTTCGTTGCAGAGAAGAGTATACAGAATCAGTAAATGTAAAAAAAAATGTCCTTTCAATTGGAGCTGCAGTGATTTGAAAATAACTCAATAACCGTGCATAATTAAGAAAAAGTATGTTTTTAAGGGAGTTGCTATTACCCATTACTATTTTTTCTTCACTAGGTATGGCCCACTGAACTGCTTAGCTCTTTTTCAGAAGCAACCTGGCCCCAAATGATAGCTCAATGGCTATCATCATTTGGAGATGTATAGCACGCATGTTGATGTGGAAATGTGGAGGGAAAAAACGAGGAGACCCAGAAAAAATCCACGCATATTTCAAATATACAGCAGGCATCAGAGTTGGGATTGAACCACGACCTCCTGCATACCAGGCGAGGTAGGTAACATCACGCCACCGAAGTGCTCCAAGATAACATCACGCCACATTGACAAACATGCGCAGTTTTTTTCTTACGTGTCCTTCAGAGCCACTGCCGATGCAGCATCACCAATAAATCTGTCGTGTTTTGAGAGCGTTAATGGGCGTAACCCGCTCGCTCGACGTGTTGTGCCTCAGCGTAGCTTCACATTGCAGTACAGTAGACGTACGAAAACAACCACCACGCTTACATAAGAACATTTCCCATGTGCTCCCGTCAGAAAGAGGAAAATGCCACTGTGTTTAAAAATATTTTGTTTTCCTACCAAAATCGCTGTTGAGGATAACAGCAGAAGAAGCAGTTGCCCTGCGCACCAGAGAAGTCTAAATTTATACCACATGCAAAAGACGGAAGGGCCGCGAGGGGATTGTGCGATTCCAAAACCAATTATGCATAGTGTCAACAACCGGCCTTGTAAGGTCAAACCACTTTATTTAGCTGAGATCATGACCATGTATTGAGAGCAGGAAGAGAAGTCTTACGGCTGCACAGTGGTTTCACCCCACATTATGGATTATACCGCACGGTGTAGTCCGAGCTATGTTTATCACGTCTCAAGCACCAGTGGCAGCTGCCATGTGGTGGTGGAGCTGTGCCGGGTATCACAGCAGCAAGCAATGTCTGGACCTGTCCACTAGAATAAAGGGCACCGCGGTGGTGAGATGTTAACTCCATCACCTGGTATACAGGAGGTCGTCGGTTCGAACCTGACCCTGACATCTGTATATTTGGAGTTTGCATGCTCTCCCCGTTGTCGCGTGGATTTTTCTCATGGGTCCTCCGGTTTTTCCCTCCACATTTGTAACTAACTTGCGTCAGGGTATTTGGCTACTGCTATAATATCTTCACGTGATAAGCCACTTCACTGATCTATCATTTGTGGCTAGGTCGCTTCTGAAAAAGAGATATATGGCTCAGTGGACCTTATTTGGTCAAATAAAAACAGTTTACAGTTTAAATAGTTGTCCTGCTCCGACCTCTTCACCATCGCACACGGGCCAGCGTGGTGAAGAATGGCCAAACCCCCATGATCGACACGGCATGGGAAGGCCTCAATCCAACAGTGAATTGCGAAAGGTGTGTAATTTACAACGTTTTAATCATACCGAGGAGATGGAGTGATGAAGTCAGCTCGTGTGCAGGTGCTCAAAGGATGATTACGTCACAGGATAATGAGATACGCCTTCATCACCAGCAGTGGATTGACTATGGCTGACGGCGATGACAACATTTTGATCAAAACGATCAGAAACGTGGAATATCAACAAAAAAAACGAGTGAACAAAAACTGAAAGTGCTCAAAAGGGAGCACGTAGAGACAGAAGCAGGAAGCCAGTGATTGTAGAACGTGCGCAAAAGCCAAAATAAATTACGAATCGTGACACGCTGGGCTGGGGAAAATCTGCTCGTTAAGTTAAACTCTGTTTAAAAAAGCACAATCTAGTAGCGGGGGATTACAATTTTAATTTCAACTACGACCAGGTGGGGAGGGAGACAAGACTCTCACCATGGCGAAGCCGACATCGGCCTTCTTCAGTGCCGGCCCATCGTTGGTTCCGTCTCCTGTGACGGCCACCACCTGGCGCTGCTCCCCAATGGTGCTGTCGATGATACCTGCCACAGAGGAGACGACCTGTGTTATTGGAGAACTGCGGCTCTTTGCGTTTGGACGAGATCGACGGATAACAGCCGACCGAGACGGTTATTCTTATTAAATCGATAGACGTAGAGCTGCATGCTAAGAACACACGAGTGAGATCGCCTTTCACACGGAAGTACATCGCAATGGTAGTTACTGTATGGCGGTCTGACAGTGGCCTGCAGCATCCTTCACATCACAGACTACAGATAATGGGGAGCAGAGGGGCAGGGGTGGGGGGGTCAGTGTCCAGGAGAGGCCGCTGTAATTAATTGTTGAATCAAAGCAGGCGTTGGCTCGGCTGCACCTTCACATTTTCTCACCTTGCTAAGACAATGGCCGCTTTGTCTCACGGGTGATCGATGAAACAATCACACGACTTGGAAGAGGCGCAGGGGACAAGCGGGTGAAGGAGCGGTTAGCTCGCCAACGCGCTCAATGGGAACGCGACGCCGAGATATGCGAGCGTTTTGCTGCACAGGCCCCACTATCGGTACCCCGCTAATGGTACCCCGCTAACGGTACCCCGCTAATGGTACCCCGCTAACGGTACCCCGCTAACGGTACCCCGCTGAATGGTACCCCGCTAATGGTACCCCGCTAACGGTACCCCGCTAACGGGTACCCGCCACGGAAAACACTCGACCGCTCCGACGGCACCTGCCTGTGGTGCGCGTCGCAAGGGGTACGCGGTTCGCATAAGGCAGGCCACCCTGGTTATGACCGCGGGTGTAAATCAACCGTCAGCTCCGCTGCCGCCTGCTGTGGGCCACAAGAGATCACCTGACGCCATTCACAAGAGTGGGGGCCATTGTGTGCCAGCATCTTGGTCCAAATTGGAAGAATTTACCTGAAAAGTGCTCAGTGGGGATTACGCGCATCAGCACCATCGCCCCCCCTCCCTCCTACGGTGAAACTACTGGAGACTGTATCTATGTTCACAGGACCTCGCAATATCAGAGCCTTTATTGAGATTGCAAAAGGAGGAATCCGATGAACTCTGAAGCTCTTTTCACAGACGTCCGTTGTAGGCGGGTCAGCGAGTTACAACAGCAACCGGTACAAAAACAATAAACGATAGCAGTGCAAAAGAGCCACTAAACGTAAATAATAGCCTTGACCTTTGAGGGCGCAAATACCAAATGAGCTAAACCTGTATTATTTTATTCTTATTATTGTGGCATTGATAAAGCCAACTACACCGGCTCTCTCAGCTGCACCTGTACTCGCCACCGCGTCACTGTGCCCGTAACACGCTCCGTCTGACTGCATTGACAATTACTCGTAACACCTATGGGATACTGCACACTAAGCCCACCTATGTGTAGTCGCAAAAGCATTAATGAGTGTGCCGAAAGGCACACGTAGGACTCTCCCGTAAGAGGTTCTACAGTGGTGGGAGGCTGACTCATGAACATGCAGTGAGCGCACTGGGCTCCCGGGATGTGTCCGAGAGTGAGGAGGGGGGTGATGTGTAAGTGGGCTGGATTAGCAAGAGGCATGGAGGCCACACATTAAATACTAAACCCAGCCCCCTGGCTCAACGCAGGTTCCCCCTGGGGCGTCTCCACGCATCAGCAGTCATACTCGACCGCACGGTGAATTCACAACTGCAATCTGTGGCAGCACATCGAATATACATTTTGTGCAATGTTAAGTACGGAAACATATATTAACATTTGCAATCTGCAGCAACAATTACAGTGACATTTAGCTCGTTGCGCCAAACTTTACATTAGACTAAAATGTTATTCATTTTCAAGTACTAAATTAATTCATTGCCCCCACCGCAAGTAAAAAACAAAACAGAAGGGAAAAAGCCACCGCAGCAGTTGTATAGAATCAGATTCAGAATATGTATTTATACTGGAGGAATCCGAATAGCTATGAAGTTCTTTTTCACAGATGTCCAGAAGTGCGGCAGAGTCGTTAGAGCGGCCCCTCGCTCCGTCACGACCGGTTGCTGCCGAGCGTCTCGTGAGGGACGGTGGAAGAAGCGCAACGAGAACCAGAATCACTCGGCTGCACGCAGAGGAAGGGTACCGGCACCACGGCGCGTAGGTCCGCGCTCGCACGACAAATCGCACCACCGAGGCCGCCGTGCGTAAGCTCGGAGCAGGCTGCGCGCATCGCTAGGCCCATACCTTTGACGAGCGTGTGCTTGTCGGTGGGCGAGGACCGGGCCAGCACCCGCAGCTTGGGCCACACCTTGTCCAGGCGCTCCTGCTCAATCTGCCACGGGAGGTCACAACAGGGCAGCCGTGTACCGCAACCTCACCCCGTGCCGCGGCACCACGACTCGCTGTTGCGATTTCACTCAAGACGGATTCCCTTTTGGTAAAATGTTTACCACTGCGATTGTTTTGCTTCTAATGCATGTCTACTTTGTACCTTTATATTCACCACGTGAGCACAAATGAAACTGGATAACTTGCATCGATCATTAACACTTGATATTTACATTCGTGATGTAATGCATGTATCATGAACATAAGTGTCGAAACTGATGAAATAATAGACCATTGCATGCCTACCATTTACCAAAGCAATTGACGACGCTATGTCAGTTTGTGGAGGAAGAGGACCTCGCCCCATGCTAGAGAACGGCCCGCAGAAGGTGATTTTTTAGAACTACTTCGAAAAATTCTTAGCCACAACAGAGATAAGCTATGTGCCCCGCTCGAGAAATCTCAGTCGCGTGAGAGTCATCAACGTGCTGGAGCCTAGTTTAATCGCTGGTACTGAACTTGGCGTCAAGATTGAGCGGTGCTGGCTCAGCGCATTGACCCGAGCCACAAGACCACAATCAACACGTTTAAACAATGCACTCTGAACGTGCACGCACAGCTACGTACGCTGCAGTATCAGCTGACCATATGTGTACGTTTGTGATGTTTGGACACACCAGACCCTTTTATTTGGTTCAACTCCCAATTATTTAGCTGTAAACGTAAGACAGCAGATGAAATATAAAATCTGTATCTAACTCAAACAGCAATTATTGAGTACACAGGATTTCGTGGCACTCCACGTAGGGCACTGAAGACCTGACACAGCGCAACATACTGACAACAGTGCTCTTTAACACAGCAGGCTTTCGCGACCAATATTATCCATAATAGAGGTCTTTTGGGTGAGATCGCGTAAACATAAATGTGTCGTTAAACCCGACACCACCTGACACAGCCATGTATAGTAAGGTTTGTCACGTGAACAAAACGCGCCAATTCCTTACTCCTTGAGCACACCGGTGTGTTGGAGACTAAGCCCACGACATTAACAATTCGAGTACGACGTTTCGCCAGTAATTAGATGATGCTCATTGTAATCACTGGCCAAACATCGTACTCCAATTGTAAATGTTGTGGTTTTACTCTCCAAAACACCAGTGTGCTGTACTAGTAACGAATTGGAACGTTTAGTTTACACGACAAACTTTACTAATTGGCTGTGTCGGGTAGTGGCGGGTTTAACAACACATTTATATTTACGCGATCTAACGCCAAAAACCTCTATTATTGAAAACAGTGCTCTTATTCATATTCTTGCTTGTGTTGCAATCGAAACGTCGTGAGAATTTTATTATTTTATTTTTATTATTGTATTATTTCCCTTCTAAGTGACTTTACCGAAAGAACCAAGAATATGAATCCCTGCGGTCACGAAAGCTTTAAATCTAAATGTAACAGTGCTCTTATCGAACCCACTGAAGCTGGACAGACCCATGCCTTGTTACTAAGGTTTCATTGAAGAATGAGTTACAATTAGCAATGTGCTCTTTAAAACATTTAAAGATGCGTAAGCATTGAAGTATAAACCTTGACAGCACACCACCTTTAGGCCTTGCAACATAAATTATATAATTTATATAATTAAGCAACCATTGTAAAGATGTTCTAAATCGAACCAAACATTAAACTAATTTTCAATGGTACAGTATATTTTTTCAAGTAGTGGTACCCCAAACTTTCGCAGCTCTTAAAATTCCCTTTTCACACCATCGAAGTGTATACGTGTATACCCAGTTGCTGTTAATAGCTCAGCTTATTGAAGAATATATTGAGTACATTTATTATATTGATGTAATTTAGACTTAGTTTTTTCACATCGGTTTACTGTATGATAGTTGGGTAGTGCAGCCCCTTTGGCGTCCATGTACTAGGTGCCTCTGTGGATGTGTAAACTTTGACTTTAACATAGCTATTTCTGCGACCAGTCACAAGCTAATCCCTCAGCTATTTCAATGCTAAATTCTCCTGTTTGATATGTAAACTTCTTTGTCAAGGTGCCTCACTTCTCTCACCCAGCTTAAAAGACGCTACGAATCTTAGCAGCGTTCATTGAAGCTCTGTCGTCCCGACAGTTCTGTTCCTTCACCTGAAGAAGGCTACTTGTGTTGTGGCCGAAACGTCGTGATTTTTGTTGTTTTATTTTTTTACCTACGTGACTTCACCGAATAGAACCAAAGAGTATGGATCCTTGCAGTCACGTAAGCTTCAAATCTAGAATATATAATAACGGACGAATGTACACTTTCTTTCCACCTGTACGTAGCCAACCATTCCAATCGGAGGTATGGGGGAAGGACAACAAACTAAACACAAAAAGTAGTTCTAAAGACATTATCTTTCCATCTAGATTTTAAAATGCATAGCTCCAGTGGCTTCCTAATATTGGAAGAGAGAGCGTTCCAGACGACCACAGAAGCACATCTGAAAGTGAGCGATGCAGTGACCGTCTTTGTTTGATGTCTAGCCAAAAGCCACTGTGAGGATGACCGGAGTTCCCATGATGGTTTATGCTCCTTGACGAGATCAGCAAGGTGTTGTGGTCCATTTGTGGCAAGTACTTTGTATGTAATCAGTGCGACATTATAACAATGCAGGGAAAGGCCTTTGCTAAAGTTGCAGGAAATGAAAACTGGCAAAACATTAGCCTTGCGAAATATGAATATTTTATCAATTTTATTACAGTGTTTATGACTAAGGTGGCGAATTTGTTAACCGCTGCCATCACGACTCCAAAATAAGCGGGGTGAAACATCACCGCGATGAATGTGCGATGGCGCGGAAGTTTGAGCGTGTCTGTGTACACGAGGGATCGCGTAGACGCGGAGTCAGGGACGTTCCGCCGCAATGTTCACACCCTCCTCACGGCTGCGGCATCGTCAACGCCGACCGTGTCTCCTCCTCCGCCAAACCACACGCGCATCCACGGGGATTTGCCTATCAGATATTTTAAGTACCGTCAAGTGTTACCCGATTTTGGGGCTTTTTTTGCATGTTACCAAGAAAAATATACTTTCATCCGTAATATGTGCATAAAGGTTAAAACATGTTCTTATTTTTCATCATTTTTGATACTGGCAAAAAAGTCCCATAGATGTAACTGCTCGACCCGAGCTACAAGTCCTCTGATACTTGCATTGTCTTTCTACTGTTAGTCCTTTAGCATTCTCTGGTCTGACACTGGTGGTGAGAAGAGGCCATAAAGAAGCCGGTCTCTGGTGTAGGCCAATCAGTTTCAAAGACAATATTATTGTTTTGCCACAAGTATGTGCAGTTAATGCACAGATGGTGCCTTGTAAAAGGTATCTATTTGGTGTATGAACATCTTAACACCTGTTTTATTGACAAAAAGGTTAAAACCTATTCTAATTTTTCACTATTTTTATACTGGCAAAAAGGTGTGGATGCTATTAATTAATAGGCCCTGTTTAACACGTAGGCTTTCGCGACCAATATTATTCATAATAAAGGTTTTTGGGTTAGATCGCGTTATTTATAAATGTGTCGTAACCCTCCACCACCCGACACGGCCAATCAGCAAAAAAGTGTCACGTTGACAAAAGACAAATAATTCACTACTTTAGCCCACCGGTGTGTTGAAGAGTGAATCCACAACATTTACAGTTTGAGTACGACGTTTCGCTGGTAATTACATCCAGCATCATCGGGCAATTCACCAGAATGGTAAAGCCCTCGCTTGCTCCCGGTTTTAAATAGAGCAGCAGGGTGACGTCATGATTCATGCATTTTTATAAACTATAAGCTATTTAAGGTTCACCAGGTAAAGCCAACTTAGCTACATAGCTAATTTTCCTAAAGCGACATGGCCACAATTGATAGCTCAACAAAGTGGTTTATCTTGTGAAAAAAGTATAGCGGCCAAATACTACTTGGAGGTACAAACTAGAGGACCCACGGGGAGAGAGAGACGCAAACTCCAAATATAGAGACGTCAGGGTCGAACCCACAACCTCCTGTATACCAGGCGTGGTAGTTAACATTTCGCCACTGTGACGCCACCTTTTAAAAAATGAGCTTGCAATAATAACACTGTAACAAATGTGTTTTTTTGTTCCTGGGTAGTAAGTATTATTTCCTAATTGCTTATGCCTCAAAAGTACACAAAATGGCTATTAGTCCCCACAAACTTTGCTTTTGTGACCAGGACAGTGATATATTTTTTATTTACCTATTTTCAATGAGAAAACGGGCGAATTTATGTCTTTTTGTTCACATAAAGTCTGAAACAACAACATATTAATCAAAATTAACATGTATTTATACTAAAGTAATACAAAAATGACTAGAAAATATTTAGACACCAAGGCGCACTGCCACTGGCGGGGCTGACCACAGCGGACTGAGTTCTCGGTGGGGAGGAACAACGTCAAGTGAGGGCCACTGGTGGACCCCCGGAAGGTGCTGATGCCACCACTGCACATCAAATTGGGCCTTATGAAACAATTTGTCAGAGCTGTAGATAAGGATCAGCAGCCTTTAAGTATCTTCAAGACTTCTTCCCCCTAAGCTGTCTGAGGCAAAGGTCAAAGCCGGTGTATTCGTCAGACCACAGATGAAGAAGATCCTGGAGTGCAATGAATTCCCCAAGAAGCTCACTAGTAAGGAACACCTTTGTCGCAGTGGTTCGTGGCTTCCTGGGCAATCACAAGGTCGAAAACTATGGGAGCTGGTTGAGACTCTGGTGAAGAACTACGGCACAATGGGCTGTAGGATGTCCATATTCTTGATGCTCATCTTGATAAATTCAAGGGGAACATGGGAGCGTACTCGGAGGAGCAAGGCGAGCGCTTCCACCAGGATATACCGGACTTTGAACGCCGCTACCAAGGACAGTATAATGAGAACATGATGGGAGACTACATTTGGGGTCTGATTCGTGAAAGTGATTTACAGTATAATCGTGAATCTCAAAAAACTACTAATCTCTAAATCTTTTGTAGTATTTTTTGTATTACTTTAGTATAAATACATGTTAATTTTGATTCACGTAGTTTTTTTCTGACTTTATGTGAACGAAAAGACAAATTCTCCCGTTTTCTCATTGAAAATAGGTACATTTCAAAATATCACTGTCCTGGTCACAAAAGCAAAGTTTGTGGGGAATAATAGCCATTTTATATACTTTTTAGGCATAAGCAATTACGAAATAACACTTACTACCCAGGAACACAAATTGTGTTACATAGTGTAATAATAACAACAAATCTAAGAACAAGAGTTAGAATTTGTACACTGTTGTGTCGAAATGCAACTGCGTCTAAAGATGCCGAACAAGGGTGAGGAACTGCATTCGGAAGCGTACGGGAAGAAGGCAGTGGGGTGATGACGGGGAGTGAGGAGGGGAGAGAGAGCTGAGATTCCGCTGGAAATGGCTGTGACTCTGGAGTAGGGATGAGTTCCGCCATCGTTCCACAAAATATTGGCAATTTTTCTTCGCCAATGTATAAATCAAGAACATGAGCTGCTGAGTGTTTATTATTACTATTATGATTGTTCAAAATTAGTTTTTGTGCTACTATATCTACATGTCATTGCGTATAAACTATGCAGTTCTTTCCTGCACGTAAATAATTAAGATTCTTACATCTATACTCGAGTCCCAAACCGTATGAGCTCGTTAAAACTTGACAGATCCACCCACACACCAACACCCACGTGCTTGCAAAATTGTTGTACAAACACGGACACATACACAGACAATAAAAACAACGACAATGACTTGGAGCGAACACATGCACAGCACTAAAAAACACACAAGCTCACAGCATCAACAAACACTCACAGAGCACTAAAAAACACACACACAGCACCAACACACACACACAGCACCAACACACACACACACAGCAACAACACACACACAGCAACACACATACACAGCAACAACACACACACAGCAACAACAAACACACACACACAGCACCAACACACACACTCACACAGCAACAACAAACACACACACAGCGCCAACACACACTCACACACAGCACCAACAAACACTCACACACAGCACCAACAAACACTCACACACAGCACCAACACACACACAGCACCAACAAACACTCACACAGCAACAACACACACAGCAACAACACACACACAGCACCAACAAACACTCACACAGCACCAACACACACACACAGCACCAACAACACACACACACAGCAACAACAAAACACATACAGCACCAACACCACTCATACAGCACCAACCAACCACGCACACACAGCACCAACACACACATACAGTGCCAACAACACAAGCCGAAGACGACACTCCCACACAAAAAACTAAAATCCTCTTCCTATCTTAATTATGCATGAAGAGGACAGAGAGAACACAGCAAGGCCCACGTACATACACAACAACTCTCGCAAGTCCACAACCCCAGTGACCACCTGTGAGAGATGCTTTGTTGTATCTCCTCAAGAGTGTGTGGGATGGGGGGTTTCCCAAGGCACTCCAGTTTCCTCCGCTGCGATAAACGCGACGTCTACAAAGGAATTGGCCAAACGTTCCTCGAAGCAGAGCGCTCGTGGAATTTTTTTTATCGAGAGCCAGAAGGGAGAAAACGTTCCACACGAAACGCATCCACACCTGGGAACAGGGAAAATATTGCTATGCCATCCCCAGTCGGCTTTGTCACCCGTGTGTAAACGTCAGTGCTGACGTTTACACACGCAGCTGCACCAGGCCGAGTCGACCTCAGAGGTGGAGGCCCAGGACCGGTTCAGATACGCGTGGCCGACGTTGGCCGTGAGCGAGAACCGCACTGGTATGGTCCGGCTCGGCGGTGCGCAAAGCGCGCCGGCTGACGGCTCCCCACGGCGCACGCACCTCGCCCTTGTCGTTCCGGATGCGTCTGTTGAACTCTTTGCCCTCGATGCACAGGAAGTCCTCGTTGGGGTGCAGGATGCCGCACTTGCTCGCGATGGCGCGCGCCGTGTTGATGTTGTCTCCCGTGACCATGCGCACCGTGATGCCCGCCCGCTGGCACATCTTGATGGCGTTCGGCACCTGCGTTCAAAGCGAACTCCCATCAGCATACGCGCTGCGAACGGTCTCCGAGGGCGTGAGTGGTTCACGCTCGCCGTGCCGAGGCCGGCAGCTGGACTCGCAACTTTGACGGCAACTTACAGTGGGCATTCAGTTCATTAAAAAAAATGATCACTCCCAAGACCAGATTTGCGCTACCGCAGCAAGCGGAAAGCGACTTGGCGATTTATGCTCCTAGCGACGGCTCCTAGCGACGGCCGTGCGGCGGTCGTTAAGTGAATACCGAAATCCGTTGCAAAAAAGAAAATAAACAAAAGTTCCCGAGAGGAGTCCGGGCGTGCCGCCCTGGTATGCGCTTGCGACCACGGACAACGGCGCGGGGCCGCTCGGGTAGGGGCGGACCAACCTCGGGCCTGACGGGGTCCTCGATGCCCACGACGGTGACGCACGTGAGCTCGTTGACGATGGCGTTCTCATCGTCCCACTTGGGCTCCGAGCCGATCGGGAAGTCGCGGTAGGCCAGGCAGATGGTGCGCAGGCCGTCGCACGCCATGGGCTCGATGACCTTGCGCACCATCTCGTCGCGGTCACGCAGCCGGAACCCCCGCGTCTCGCCAGTCGCGCCCAGGATCCGCGAGCACCTGACACGCACGGGTTCATCGACTACAGCGGGGCTTCCTCACAGCAAAAAAAAAAGTCCCTGGGATTCATTCCCGACCCAGGTGTTTTATTTTTGTGTTTGCATTGTTCTCCCCCTCCTCTGCATGGGTCTCTTCCCATTCATAAAAATAAACTCGCACAATGTCACTGGTCCCACTGCTGATTAATTTCCTACAAATCACTCAAATGGGATCACACAGCAGCAGCAGCAACATCGCTCCCTTCCAGCAAATACTTGACAGGACCCTACTGAAAAAAGATAGTGATCACCACGAATACCACTGTTTTTTAAGTAAACAGCTGTTGTTCCATGGACAGACTTGTCCCTGTTATATCAATGTGGAATTCCAGCCTCTGATTCAGGGTCACAAAGACGATTCCGTGGAATCGAGTCGGCCGTCTTTGTGAGCGTCAGCCACCCTGGACACAATGACTTCTATTTTATCACGTCGAGTTATCGTCACGGTGTCAGAACGGCAATGCAGTACAGCTGATAGCAACGGCTCGTCGTATTACGGCGCTCGAGAAATTCTCGTTATTATTACGACTGTCAAGAGATGAAGAATGTTCTGATCACTCAATATTAGTGTTAACCGAGAGACTTGTTGGTTTACAAACACGATCACGTTGGGTTTTAATTGCTAATGATCAAAGCTCTGTCGCTTGGCAGGAGCCTGGGACCGGCGAAGGCGTTCCTGCTCACGATCGTTGTGCGAGCTGACAATCACCGGGCGGGGGAGGACACACACACAGTAGATTCTTTGTGATTTATTTGCAAATCTATTATTTAAGGTGATAATGTGTATGTCTGTGCGTTTGTCTGGGGAACTCTGAGAACGCTCCCCCGACTTTCAATGAACGAGGCCTTGTCTGAGAGCTTCTCAAATGCAGTTTCCGAGAAACGAGGGTGACAAATTTCAAAACTTATTTTACATTTGTGACCGGACCATTTGGGAAAATTTTGCTCATCTGCCACGCTGCCGCTAATCTGCGTCGTCATTTACAAACAACCCACCTGGTGACACGGGCCCCGTTCACAATCGTTAGAACGCACGGGCGGCGGAAGCCTCGGGTGACTGAGACGCCCACAAAGTCAGAGTCTACTCTCAGCGGGCTTCCCACTCGTGATTAATAAAACATGCAGGAACAACTTGGAGAACGACCGCGATTGTAAACGTTGGTCGAGGGCGGCACTTTGGCAAAGAGCAATACGATAACAAAAACGAGCGCTCCCGGGAGGCCGCGCCAAGCGCGAGGAGCAGCGACGTGTCTGTCAGTGCCTTCTCAGATGGTCGTCCGCAGGAGGTAACGTCAGCCGGGTCTGTTCCGGGCAAGCGACCCGGAAAATTTTCCCTCACCCCGGCACACCACGTCGCCAGGCATTCACTCCGCTGTGGCCGTGGCGACTGGTCACGTGACCGGCTCTGGTTTTTACATGCAACTCGGAAAATGTTCAGCAAGAAACTCAGCCCTGGCAGATCCAGCATCAAGGGATAACACGGACACCAGAGTAGCCAAGAGTGGGACAGTGACGCACTCGTACCAGAGACGCACATACCGCATGGCTTTTAAAGACAATGGTGTACAGCCTTGTAGAAAAAGCTCAAGAATATAGACTAGTGGTTGTGAAAACAAAAAGTGAACAGATATTGATAATAATGAAGAATGTATGACATTGGTATTGTTGCCATTCTACAGCGCTGGGCCATGCCACTGCTCCGACAACGAAATATATTCCCATTATTCTTGGTTCTTTCGGTAAAAGAAAATTTTCTTGCAGTGGTTTTCATACCGGATGATGATTGCTTGTTGCAATCGAAACGTCGTGAGAATTTTATTGTTTTATTTTTATTATTTCCCTTCTACATGACTTTACCGAAAGAACCAATAATATGAATCCCTGCAGTCACGAAAGCTTTGAATCGAGATTTATATTCCCATTGTGCACATGCAGACTGGACACTGCCAATGCCCCTGCCGCACCCGACTCCGACCACGATCGCCGCTATCCCGCCGCGTCACGTCGTGCGACGACAATGGGGAGTGGGGGGTGAGGGATAGGGGGGTGGGGTCGGCCGACTCTCACTTCTTGAGCAGGATCTCGGAGGCGCCCTTGCTGTAGAGGCGGAAGCCCCCGTCGGCGTTGTGCAGCACGGTGCTCATGGACTTGCGCACCGAGTTGAAGGTGTACACCTTGTAGAGGCGCTCCTCGGGCAGCTCGTCGCGCACCGCCTGGTAGTCGCGTCTCATCTCGGCGAGCAGCCCCAGCAGCGCGCACTCCGTCTTGTTGCCCACCTGGCGCGGGAGGCCGCCCTCCTTCTCCGGCGGCTGTGGATACGGACGGGGGGGAGGGGGGCGTGCACGTGAGTTCCGTGGCAGTAACTCCGACACCCCCCCGCCCCCCCGGGCTTCTCTCTGCCGGCCAGGACGTCCATATCATGGGGCTGCATGGTGAAACGGATCTTGAATGATACTGCTTCGCTCGCTGCGAAGGTACGGATGTCTTAACGTTGATAAGGCCTTCATTTGATTGGGCGGCAGGGTGGCGTGGCGGTAACGAGCAAGCTTCACGACACGAAGGCCCTGGGTTAAATTCCCACCTCGGACACCTTTCCATATGGGGTTTACATGTTCCCTCACGATTCTGCATGGGTTTCCTCTGGGTCCTCCAGTTTCCTCCCATTGTGAAAACAAGTACAAACAATATAACTGGTATTGGCCATAGTCCCAATGATGAAAAAAATACTTTACAAATTACGCAACTTGCAGGTGTTTGCCAAAGGCCAAAAATGTTTTTCCAATGTGGAAAGGTCTCGTTGCTGGATTTAAATTTTAGTATATGTACTGCCGGAGCAAGGTCACGTCGCTAGATTTCAATTGTAGTATATGTACTGCCGGGGCAAGGTCACTTCGCTGGATTTAAATTTTAGTATATGTACTGCCGGGGAAAGGTCACGTCGCTGGATTTAAATTTTAGTATATGTGTAGTAGTATAATCACTACATATGTACTGCTGGTGCAAGGTCAAATCGCTGGACTTAAATTTTAGTATATGTACTGCCAGGGCAAGGTCACGTCACTGGATTTAAATTTTAGTATATGTACTGCTGGTGCAAGGTCAAATCGCTGGACTTAAATTTTAGTATATGTACTGCCGGAGCAAGGCCACGTCACTGGATTTCAAAACGAACGCGTGCAGGTTTATAGCTGACGGGAACCCTATCACGCTCACAGGTTAACGTTTCGCCATGAGGAGCTTTGGTTGTATTGAGAATTAACATAAATCAAAAAACAAATCACGAGCCACCTTTGCCGAAAGGACAGTGATAAAATTACTTTACCAATTACACACAGGGCACACACAGTGAGAACTGCTATCACAGAAATGAGTTGTGTAGAGCAATTTATAACTTCCATTTTCTCCACACAAACAGCACGCCTTGCATGTGCCACTTTAAGATCATAATTATTAAGTCTTTTAATTATTACAAAGGAACATACTGTATCTGTATTTTTTTTTAATGCATCTCTTTTATAACGCATGTTTAGAACGGCAACTGGAACTCTACAAGTGTGAATAACAGACCTTAATTTTAACGTAGTTCAATTCCACGCTGAAGATGAATTTCAAACTGCTGGCCAAAGGGTCAATAACTGTGGACTAAACAGAGAAGCTGCCTGCTACGTGGTAAGGTCAATGTGGTTGGGGCATTTTTGTGCTGGCAGATAACTTTTTAAATGAGGACAACCCATCTACGCTTTTTGACTGAACATAAATGCACTTTCTTTAATTTATTACATTCACTCATAAATGTTCGTCGCCATGCTGAATATTCATTCGGGTTCGGTTGTGCAGAAGCACTATAATTCTTTTAATGTCAATGCCATCCGTGTCATTAGAGATATGTGACATGTGTAATATTTCAAAATATAATTACGACTGCACCAAAGACAAAAACAACGATCCCCGTATAACCTTAACAGACTGTCGGGGTAAGTGCTGCTAGCGAGCACCTATGAAGGCCGGCACGGCACACAAGGGGGGTGGGTGACCAACACCACGCCCGGCCGCTATTGTCTCCCGAGTGGAGATGTTTACACATCGCACCAGACACTAATTTCAGTCTGAGTCGACTTAGGGGAGGCCCAGGACCGGTTGAGATAATCGTCACCGGTGTTGGCCGTGAGCGGGAATCGAACCTAGGGACGCCAGGTTTCGTAGCGCAGTGTAGCGCTAACCGCTACACCACCGTTTCCGCCACACGCGTAGCACCATGTTTCCCTCGCATTGCGCCCTACGTCTTGACTTTGACACGCAGGCTTTCACGACCAATGCTGTAGCACGATTCATAATTTGCTTTCTTGGGTTCACACGACCTGACTCAAATGTACGCAAACCGATGTACTGTACATGGCCAGGTGTCAACGTGGCGATTTAATTTTTCACAGGCACGTTAAGGGTTGACGCACATGCACTGCTTTTAAATCTGATTCAAAGTGAAAGTTTTCCATCCGATAACCCCCTCTGTGTATGGAGTTTGCATGTCTCTCTCTCCCTTCCTGTGGTGGATTTTCTCTGGGTCCTCCTGTTATTCCCTCCACTTTTAGGATTGACATCACGCGTTTTGGAGAATTTGGCTGGTCTAAATTTCCACGCAATAAGCGAGTGATCATTTGTGGCCGGGTCGTTTCTGAAAAGAGCTATGCAGCACAGTGGACTTTTACCGGTAACACAAAGTAAATAGTGTACATGTCTGACAAGGGGCAGGAGCCCTCTAGAATCGGACTATTTCCCACTGAGCAAAGCCCATTGAGCCTACAAATCTCAATGGGCGACCCGATTGGCCGATTTCTTATTTTACGATGGCTGCATTTGCACCAAACTGCCGCATGATGCTATCTGGCTTAATAAACTACAAAAAATTCGATAACATCAATTGCGCTCCGACTTTGCCACTACCTGCCGGTGGCATGGGGACGGCATGGGGACGGCCAGGGGGGGCGCGAGACCGGAACGAAAACGTCGCGAGCGTGACCTGGGGGACTCGCTGCAAGCCAAAATCGGGAGAGCTATCGTCATTCAGGCTGTTTGTATCCGTCAAAGGCTGCTATGTGTTTTTTATTGTACTGTACATCATTCACGTGTTCAAGGCAGAAGCGAACACGCTCAAACGGTTATGCTGTGCATTGGGTGGATAAGGTTTTGTTTACGATTAAAGAAACGAAAAAAAACAGCAGACGCTTTCTCATTCCCAAACCTGTGATGGGAATATGCCGACATTTTGGTCTTTTTTTTGGGATTTCCAATCATTTGCGGATCGAGACAACGTCGCCTATTCATAGCGCATCATGAAGGGACGCCTCCGCACACCCCTTGATGCACACCCACATGCTCATTTAATTATTCCTTGGCCACGAGGTAATACCGAGTTATTCGTGGCTAACGAATGCTTCATATTAAAAATCTGAAATTGTCCATTTATATATGTCTACTCCCTTCAATAGGGATCTGGTAGCTCCAACGATCCAATGTGTTGTCAATATGTCCCTCACGGAATAACAATTCCCTGCCAAGGCTCCTGTGATAATTGCTAACTGTAGATCAATATTAAAGAATTGCTTATTTTATTGACATTTAAAAAACACATCAAACGAGATCAATAATTAAAACATGCACCACGGTGAGAAATATAAGAGCCTCCCTGGGAGCTTGAGTGGACTACAAACCTGAAATCAAATGCTTCGGTAAATCATGCTGTGTATTGGTCAGTACAGAAAGTAGGTTGCTAACACATCTGGAGGTCGTGGGCTTGATCTCAACCCTGAAGCCTGTATATTTGGAGTTTGTATGTCTCTCTTCCCGTGTTTACGTGGATTTTCCTCCGGGTCCTCTGGTTTTTCCCTCCACAGTTATAATCAACAATACGCGTTTAGAGTATTTGGCTGAATTTCGATTTAAAGCTTTCGTGACTGCAAGGATTAATCTTCTTTGGTTCTTTCGGTAAAGTCACGTAGAATGAGAATAAAATAATAAATTTATAAAATAAAATAACACAATAAAATTCTCACGTGGCCGAAACGTCGTGAGAATTTTATTGTGTTATTTCATTTTATCAATTTATTATTTTATTCTCATTCTACGTGACTTTACCGAAAGAACCAAAGAAGAGTATTTGGCTGCTTTAAATTTCCACAAAAGCCACTCTTAATTGGGCTATCATTTGTGGCCAGGTCGCTTCTGAAAAAGACCTATATAGCTCAGTGGGCCTTACCTGGTGAAATAAAAATGTGTTCATAGTCAGGATTTATGAGCATTTTCCCCCATGCATGCATGGGGTTTCTCAGCATCCTCCAGGCTCTCCATCATCATGCTGAAATATTCAATATAAAAAACTGGCCAAACATCCCAAGCGGGTGGCTCCTCTTCGGAGACTCAATGGAGGCTTCGCGAAACAGGAACGCGGTACTTTAAATTCAGCTCTCGTATTTTCCATATATATAAAACGCTGAAGATGCTCTGAATAAAAAAAAACGTTTGCGACTTTGCCGGAATGTCCTGCGTGCCATTAGAGTGGCGAGCGAGCGGACGCGATTTACCGAGCGTATTCTCCACCGAGCGCAGCGAAGCCGCAGTACAAAGGGCTTCACACAGAGACATCAAAAGCGCCACGGTGGTGCTCATTCAGCCCCCCCCCGCACTCACCCATTTTTTTTAATAGTAAAAATAGAGTCACATTAATTTGAGGGATTAAAAGTACATCACCATTAGCCTCACTTTCACCGTCTTCAAATTCAACCTCCGCTGCATGCAACATGCGAATGTAAATAAACTCACAAAGCGTCACCCCCCCCCCCCCACTCTCTCACCTCCGCTGCATGCAACATGCGAATGTAAATAAACTCACAAAGCATCACCCCCCCCCTCTCACCTCCGCTGCCTTTGTGCAACATGCGAATGTAAATAAACTCACAAAGCGTCACCCCCCCCTCTCACCTCCGCTGCGTGACCTCAACTGCATTGCTGTTTGTGCTGTGAAGGTTGCGAGTGCCGTCAAATGGCAGTATTCAATACGTGGAATAACGGCAGACCACAGTTAAGGCTGCTCTGTAACTCACAGCGCCATGCACAATGCAGAGCGCTCGCCAAGGAGATATGAGAGGTGGATCAGCGCTCATCCTGCTGCAGCAGAACTCACCACGTGCCCTCCGGTATGTCTGTATGTACTGTATTTTGAACTTCTTTCGCACCATACATAGCCAACCGCGCTAATTGGATTTGCGGGGGAAAGACAACTAAACACAGAAAGTGTCATACTGGCGTCATGCTGAAACCAGGCCATAAAGGGGGACCCCTTGCCTACCATGACAAGATGACAATGGTTTGAGGCCTCGCATATTTTCCCAATTATGTGGATATTTCAATTATTAAATACATTATGAATAATTCTGTCAGATTTCAGTGGAAATCTCGCAGTGATTTTGACTTGCAAGGCTAAGCAAAGAATTTGCGTTCTACCAAACTCCACTATAGCATTCCACGCTTCAACAATTGACAGGGACATCTTTTATAATGACGTGGCTTCTGTGAGAAGTGCATGGAGGCGGAGCAACTCTCAACAATAAACCAGAGGAGCGCGAGCCACAGCCGTGGCAACTGGGGCCCTGCAGTGTGCTCAGCAAACGCAGACACCACCAATCGTTCAAGGCACGAAAGCAAAAAAAAAACGCATGGGTCACCTTGTCAGCCTTCCATCGGCAATGAACTTGGACTAAGCCTGCGACTGACACAAATGCGACAGCTGTAGAATATTTATAAAAAGAAAATGCATTTTTAGTAATGCGCAGGTGTGAGCGATAGGGATGTGTGGAATTATAGATTTTAAAAAAGAAAATTGTGTAGTAGACATTGCAAAATGTCAGTGTCAGGCTCCAACTCCTGCTAATCGCTCCTCCCGGGCAGTGAACCCCACGGTTCTCCCAGGCATAACACCGGGGAGTCGACCTCAACCTCTGCCTGGATGCCCCAAGGGGAATAGCGCTATCGAAGCAGGCAGACAACCAAGGGGAGGAGCAGGTCTCAATTACCAATATCATCATTAAGGCCCGCTCAAAAATTATTGGGGAATGCAGAATAAGTGAAGCATAAAATAATCTGGAAAACAGCAAACATATATGTTCCCTCGATTCGATGTAGATGCATCGATGGGGCCCTCTCCGCACATTTGCCGCGTAAACGTTGCCTGACGTATATTCACGGAGCAGCGTTGCCCTTGACAAATGCATCAACTGCTTGTGACCTCATTCTGTCCACAGCTCAAACATGGCCTCAATGCAGCCTGCTGGACTTACAGTGCTGCCTTTCTTGCATTGCCAGAGGGTATGGCCAGAGCAAATTATAGAATTCCCAGATAACGGATATTTCTGTCCTATCATCAATGCCACAAACTTCACTTATCTGTATTTTTTTTAAACGTCTTTGTCTGAGATAACATCGCAAGTAAAAAAAATTGGGCTCTTCAGAGCAACTATGTCTTCATTCATTATTTTCCTTTCCCCCATCTAATCTGCTATCGAGATAAATTTCCTGGTGCATTCTAAAAAATGTCGGGTAACTCCTTAACGCGCACACCGTGTACAACCCCTCATGTTACTGGAGTTGGACATGACTTCCCACCCCTCATGTTACTGGAGTTGGACTTCCCAATATGGGACCACAGAGCTTGGACAATTGTTGTTGGTCACCTTCGTCAAATCGTCTCCGGTTTCCCGTGCCTCTGAATCATTCTGTGTCTGAGCGTTTTTGAAAACCGCGCATTACAAACGCTGACATTAAAACTCCACTTGCATCGTAGCTTTGTGCGAATGTAACCACCTCCTGCGTGCCACGTGCACCCTGTCACGATTGCCCACGTAGCAACTATCGCACGAGCGGCTTCCATTCCCGTGCGTGCGATTATCCCATCACGTTAAACGTGCGGAAAGAATCCGCCCATTGTCCCCCGTGACCGCCAGCCGCTGAAGTCACCCAAAGTGATTTGGTTCCCGCGCGTTCCATCGGCGTCCCACGTCAGCCCGGCAGGCGGCCGCGGTGGCTGCGGTCGGCGTCACGCACCCTCCGCCGCGCTCGCGTCAATGCGGGGCACGGGGCCGCGACTCCGCTCACACGGTCATATTAGCAACCGTCGCCGGCGTGGATGGCGAGAAGAGACACACGGGGGAAGTGGGGACGCGGCGGCGCTGACCGTCACGCCACCGTTCCTCCGCCCGACCACCACCACCGCATGCAGCAGCAGCAGCCCACTTACACAATTACCTTCGCCATCATTCGGTGTCTTCAGCAGGGAGGAAAAACACACCGTATGCTAATTTAACCCGTAGGCTTCGTAGCCAATATAATTGATTCTTGTTAGGAGTGTTTGAAGATGCTCGATGCGGTTTCAAGCAAAACGTTGTGTCGAATTGCTAAATTTACTTGTGAACATTCCTCTCCAACTTATCGGTGAGCTGAAACGTTCACAACTGGGGCACTAAATGCTTTCTATGTCAGGTGGTGGAGGTAGTTACGTCAAAAAATGTAGCCAGCTCATTAAGTGACCTAACCCAACAAGCAATGGTGAATCACGTACTTAGTATTCAATCCGTATGGCACAATTGAAGACAATTAAGTATGCGTGCACACAGAACCCGTGTCCAACGAGGCAGAGAAGGGACCACGATGGCGCCGTACCAGGATCTTGGTGGTGTAGGCGCAGTTGACGGCAATGCCGGTGGTGAGCACATCCATGATGGCGGGCGCCAGCGCGTCGGGGCTAGGCACGGAGCAGTAGTGCACGTCGCCCACGTATGCCTGCACCCACGGTCACGCACACACGTGCTCAGCGGTTGTGGTCGTGGTTTTTGGCTGGTGGGTAGTTTATGGATTGTGGTTGATGGGTAGTAGTTCATGGCTAGTGGTTGGTGGGTAGTAGTTCATGGCTAGTGGGTGGTGGGTAGTAGTTCATGGTTAGTGGTAGGTGGGTATTAGTTCATGGCTAGTGGTTGGTGGGTAGTAGTTCATGGCTAGTGGATGGTGGGTAGTAGTTCATGGCTAGTGGTTGGTGGGTAGTAGTTCATGGCTAGTGGTTGGTGGGTAGTAGTTCATGGCTAGTGGTTGGTGGGTAGTAGTTCATGGTTAGTGGTAGGTGGGTAGTAGTTCATGGCTAGTGGATGGTGGGTAGTAGTTCATGGTTAGTGGTAGGTGGGTAGTAGTTCATGGCTAGTGGTTGGTGGGTAGTAGTTCATGACTAGTGGTTGGTGGGTAGTAATTCATGGCTAGTGGTTGGTGGGTAGTAGTTCATGGCTAGTGGGTGGTGGGTAGTAGTTCATGGCTAGTGGATGGTGGGGAGTAGTTCATGGCTAGTTGATGGTGGGTAGTAGTTCATGGCTAGTGGTTGGTGGGTAGTAGTTCATGGCTAGTGGATGGTGGGTAGTAGTTCATGGCTAGTGGTTGGTGGGTAGTAGTTTCATGGCTAGTGGTTGGTGGGTAGTAGTTCATGGCTAGTGGTTTGGTGGGTAGTAGTTCATGGCTAGTGGATGGTGGGTAGTAATTCATGGCTAGTGGTTGGTGGGTAGTAGTTCATGGCTAGTGGTTGGTGGGTAGTAGTTCATGGCTAGTGGTTGGTGGGGAGTAGTTCATGGCTAGTGGATGGTGAATAGTAGTTAATGACTAGTGGTTGGTGGGTATTAGTTCATGGTTAGTGGTTGGTGGGTAGTAGTTCATGACTAGTGGTTGGTGGGTAGTAGTTCATGGCTAGTGGTTGGTGGGTAGTAGTTCATGACTAGTGGTTGGTGGGTATTAGTTCATGGTTAGTGGTTGGTGGGTAGTAGTTCATGGCTAGTGGATGGTGGGTAGTAGTTCATGGCTAGTGGTTGGTGGGTAGTAGTTTATGGTTAGTGGTTGGTGGGTAGTAGTTCAGTTATTGGTCTGTGGCTGTTGTGAGCATCTCACCTGCACCACCGTCATGCGGTTGGTGGTGAGCGTGCCCGTCTTGTCGGAGCAGATGGCCGTGGCGTTTCCCATCGTCTCGCACGCGTCCAGGTGCCGCACCAGGTTGTTGTCCTTCATCATTTTCTGCCAGTGAACATTTTGGAACGGACGTCAGGAGGACAAGATTGTAATGTCACCACGATCAAAGCTGCCGACGCCACCGGCACAAAGCGCTGTCCGTCAGAACCCACAGCCTATGCCTGCTGTAGAACATCGACCTACTGACCCCACTCCCTCTGCTCGCTCCACTGACCTCGCTCGCCCCGTTGACCCCGCTCGCTCCACTGACCCCGCTTGCCCCACTGACTCCGCTCGCCCCACTCACCCCGTTAGCCCTGCTGACCCCGCTTGCTCCGCTAACCTCGCTCGCTCCGCTGACCCCGCTCGTTCCGCTGACCTTGCTCACTCCACTGACCCCGCTTGCCCCTGCTCGTTCCACTGACCCGCTCGCCCCACTGACCCCGCTTGCTCCAATGACCCAGCTCGCCCCTGCTCGCTCCACTTACCCCGCTCTCCCCACTGACTCTGCTCGCCCCGCTCACCCCGTTAGCTCCGCTTGCCCCAATCGCCCCGCTGACCCCGCTCGCTCCACTGACCCCGCTCGCCCCACCGACCCCGTTCATGGAGCGGCCCACCGCGGGCGGCACGCACCTTGACGGAGTAGGCAAGCGAGATGGTGACGGCCAGCGGAAGCCCCTCGGGCACGGCCACGACCAGCACGGTGACGCCGATGATGAAGAACTTGACGAAGAACTGCACGTAGATTGGCGTGCACTCGGGCAGCCAGGGCATGCCCTGCACCCAGAACGTCTCGATCACAAAGTAGAGCACGAGGATGACGACGGTGATGGCCGACATCACCAGGCCTGCCGAGGGAACGGAGGGCAAGCGTCACCACGGCGACGATCACCACCGCGGCCGAGGAGTGACGGCCACGACAAAACCACGACGATGAACGCCGTTGCCGCATATTGCGTGTGCGTTGCACGTGCCAAACGCTGAGCCGCTCGTCGATGGCTCTTGCCCGTGATGCCAGCAGCCCAACAGCCTGAGACAGCTGGGACTCTCCATGAGCCCGAGTAGGCGACCTCTACCCCCCCCCGAACCCCCCAATTTATATTAGCTGGGGTGTTGTCCCCCTGAACTCAAATGGAACAACTGAAAGTCAAGGTCAAGAGGCCATCACAGTTTAAGGAGTTTTGATGCCACCAAACTTCTCCATAAATTCCTTCCTTCTGCTAGATTCTGACAACCAACCTCCAAGGTCTGATCTTATTTCACCATCACTGCAGTCTGGCTTGAGGTAGCCACGGCTCTCACAGAACTATACGACATACACGACATTGAAGAACGAACAACCTCTCAGATGGTCAAAACGGTTCTTGGTACAGAAAGAATGATACTTCCGCAGTGCAACTTTGCTCTTAATAAACAGAGGCCTTTTTATTCATGCCGTTACCTCGTTCAGTCTTCCTCTCTCGTACGGCCTCATGGGGGGCAACAATTAACGGCTCGCCCATAAGCGACGATCGCTCGCGTTTACCTCTTTCAATGCAATATTGAAACATCGCAAAGAAGATGAACGCTCTCTGGGTCATGGCGAAAGCGCCTCCGCGTGACGGCGTACCGGCCTTGCCGATCTGCACCGCGAGCTTCGTCAGCTTGCCCTGGAGCACCGACTTCTCCTTCTTGGTGACATTGGAGCGCTTCTTCTCTTTGTGGTCCTCGCAGTCGGCACCCTTCAAGGGCTCCATCTCCATGTCGGCGACCCCGTCCGGGGCTTTCACTTCGGCCGTGACAAAGAGACACGCAGCGACGGGGGGGGGGGGGGCGGCAGTTAGCGCATCGCGACGGGTGTGCACACCGCCCAACAGCGTGCACACCACCCGCCAGCGCAGCACACCACCCAACAATGCAGCGCACCACCCACCAGCACATCACACCACCCACCAGCGCAGCACACCACCCAACAATGCAGCGCACCACCCACCAGCACATCACACCATCCACCAGCGCATCACACCACCAAACAGCGCAGCACACCACCGCACGCTCCCAGCCTGTGCGTCACACTGCCAGTTTATATATGTCGTGCACGCATACTGAGTGTTGCGTAATAAAACAACAAGAATGAGTAATCGCGCGAGGCTCTTGCAAAGGCACCATGTTTCACCCGCCGGCAGTCAGCAGTCGTTTCACATCCGGGAGAGACGGTTCTCTGTGACGTCCCGACTGAGTGATTTGCGGGCGATTTAAAACTTGTCAAATTTGGTCCACAAGGCCGTGGACTCGTCGTTTTTCAAACGACGGCCAGGGGACCTTTGACGTACAGTGAGGGAAAAAAGTATTTGATCCCCTGCTGATTTTGTACGTTTGCCCACTGACAAAGAAATGATCAGTCTATAATTTTAATGGTAGGTTTATTTGAACAGTGAGAGACAGAATAACAACAAAATCCAGAAAAACGCATGTCGAAAATGTTATAAATTGATTTGCATTTTAATGAGGGAAATAAGTATTTGACCCCCTCTCAATTAGAAAGATTTCTGGCTCCCAGGTGTCTTTTAAACAGGTAACGAGCTGAGATTAGGAGCACACTCTTAAAGGGAATGCTCCTAATCTCAGCTTGTTACCTGTATAAAAGACACCTGTCCACAGAAGCAATCAATCAATCAGATTCCAAACTCTCTACCATGGCCAAGACCAAAGAGCTCTCCAAGGATGTCAGGGACAAGATTGTAGACCTACACAAGGCTGGAATGGGCTACAAGACCATTGCCAAGCAGCTTGGTGAGAAGGTGACAACAGTTGGTGCGATTATTCGCAAATGGATCGCTGTGAACAGCAATCGAAAGAGGCAGCGGCATGCGATCCCGTGGGAGCACACGCACGATTGTATGGAGGGTGATCCCCGTGTGCAGCAAGGAAAGCGGCAGTGTGTGCACAGTTGCAAGTGGTTTTTCTCCCACACGAACGCGTCGGGGTGGAGAGCCCACCTCAAGAAGCACAACGTGCTCGTCCCAGGCAGCGAGGTCGGGATGTCGGCGTCGGCGAGCCGCCTAATGCGGCAAACGCTCAGCCGGCCAGCGATCCCGGATCGTTGATTTTGTTATCCAAGGTGCAATCTCTTTGCGAGCCGCCGGCAGCGACAAGTTCAAGACCTTGGTCCACACACTGACGCAGGGATACGAGGGCCCGTCGACCAGCACCATCATTCGCAGGATTGTCGAGCATCACGCCATCATGCTGCCCATCGTCGGGGCGTTCTTCTCCAACCTGAACGTCGCCATCTCGCTCACCATCGACGGGTGGTCGAACCGCAACCTGAAGGGATTCTGGATGGTCACGGTGCACTGGATCGACACCAAATCTGGTGCGTCAAAATCCTTGCTGCTGACGATCCTTGACGTGCAGTCCGGAAGGGGTGTCGGCAAGCGCATTGGCACCGCTCTGTTTGAGCACCCCCAGAGCCTCGGGCACAATGTCTCGACCAAGCTGCTCGCTGTCACCAGCGACAGTGGCTCCGATGCGATCAGTGCTGTTAAGACGTTGTTTGCTCGGGTCAACGCGGACGCCGGATATAAGCAGTTGCGGGCTTGCCACCATATTCGCTGCGCGGATCATTGGGTCCAAATCGGCGTCTTCCAAGTTCTCAAACTGATCAAGTCGACCAATGCCGAACTGCGCGAGGCGCTCGTCAATATCAGGCGCAGCAACGTCGTCTGGCAGTCGTACTGCCGCGAGGCCGAGATCGCCAAGCTCACCAGCGCGAATAGCGGAGCCGGGCGGGAGTTCACGTGCATTCGCCAGTCGCTGTCGTCGACGCTCTTCATCCAGTCCATGTGCATGCGGTCGTGGATCAGGGCCGGCTGCCTGGAGGCCCCGTCTAACCTGGCCGGAGCGGCGCAGGATCTTATTGCCCGTCGTTCGTCCGAGGACGACGGCAATGACGAACTTGATCAGCTTTCCCACCTGATGACGGACGCTCGTGTTGTGCCCGAAACGTCGTGATTTATTTTATTTTCTACCTACGTGACTTTACCGAAAGAACCAAAGAGTATGGATCCCTGCAGTCACGAAAGCTTCAAATAAAGATTGATCAAGTTGTTGATGAGATCGTCATCGACCAAGACGACTGGGACGAGGAGGTTATGGAGGACGGTGTCGTCTACAGCCTCAACGCCCGATTCGAGAATATTCTATACGAGTAAAGCGCTCTACCTAGCATTTACCTGTTATAAACCTTCTTCATGTGTAGTACCCCGGTAATTACCCTGTAATTGGGTAATTTGTATGGGGTAAGGGTAAAAGGTAGGGTAAAGGTAGGCTCGTTGCTTTTGAACTTTTACCTTTTACCTTACCTTGCTAAAGGGTAAAAGGTAAGGGTAGAGTGATTGTATTGTGGTAAGGTAAAGGTAGGCTCGTTTTTTTACCTTTTACCTTACCTTGCCGCGGTGTATATCAGATTACAAGGATAAATGAAATCATAACAATGTTCATTCAACTTTCAAAGCTCCTGGTTGTAGAACAGAAGTAAATAAATATATGGGTATTAAAGGTGTGAAAAATTGCCGGGGAAGCATAAATATGAACTTTAAAGTGCAGAAGATGCAATCCAGTACAGAGACCTGAAGTGCAATGCCATTTACTGTTCCATAGAGAATTTGGCGATAAAAATCCAAAGCTAAGCAACGCAACTGTTTTTACAGCATCCACATCTGAAGGCGACCTCATATCTTTCCACGTATAGTCGTGTTAAACATCAAAGGGACGAAACAAACAGCATATATACCGCATGTCTAAATTGGGTATCATCATCATCGGGGTCAGCCAAGATCAATCCACTGCTGGATGAAGGCTCCCCACGTGGGTGCGTGAAAACCTGCGTAAGGGTGAGTCGCTGCTTCCCGGACTGTCCGCTCACCCTGCGCTCATCCCGTGCTCACCCTGCGCTCACCCCGCGCTCACCCCGAACTCACCCCAAGCTCACTCCGCGCTCACCCCGAACTCACCCCGAACTCACCCCAAACTCACCCTGCGCTCACCCCGCGTTCACCCTACGCTCACCCTGTGCTCACCCCGAGCTCACCCTAAGCTCGCCCCGAGCTCACCCCGCGCTCACCCCACGCTCACCGTGAAGCTGACCACGCTCCCGTCGCCGTGCACTCACCGGAGTACCACGACAAAGGTCCACCGTACCGCAATAAAGGGCAGTAGAAAATATTACAATGCAAAAAAACGAATTCCCATTGTATCATTCACTTATCAAAAGCTAACGGTGTAGGGACGTCTTTCAAAGCGGTGGCTTTGTAAATGGGCACATTAGGATGAGGGTGATACTGCTATTCAGTATCCTGGGTTAGATGTGCGACGTTGGCATAAGGTGATTTTTAAATGAAGCGCTCTCTTCGCCACATCGGAGGCCTGGGTATTGCACAGGGCTGAACATTGGCTTTTTGCGGAAAGTTCCATCAGTGGAAACTCTTATAAAAGCCATTTCTCGCAATTTGGCGCAACGCCAGTGTCTATCGGCCAGATTCCCGCTTTGCGGAATGGGCAGCTAGAACACCCCACGTACGTACGCACAGATGCGCGCACCTGTTTGTATTCGTCAAGATCGAGAGGAAAACATGGCCAGCGATGCTGCCACCGTTGCCGCTGCCACCGCCGCAAGACCTTCGGCAGACCCCGGCTAAGCTGGAGATTCGGCACCCCCTCCCGCAAGGCCGGCATTTACACCAGCCGGCCGTCCGGCCGCCCGACTCGCCGGCCTCTATGGGTGGGTGGGGACTCGGGGGGGGGGGGGGTTTCGAGGGGGGCACAGCCCGCACGAGGGTGCGGGGCCCTAACTGCTGTGGGATTTTCCACCTCTCTGGTTCTGACGGTTTGGCAAATTAGATATTGGTTGAGAATTCACTAATCAGAAACATCTGCAGCAAAACACATGTGCAAGCGCTCAGGGCCCTTTTTCCCTACACTGCTGGGGGCTTATATGCAGCGACGTCGTCACTGCGCGAGCGCGTGAGACTGCTCATGCATCCGTGTCTCTGTGTGTCTCTGTCTCTCTCCGTATCTCTCCAATCATCTCTCTCTATGTCTCTCCAAGTGCATGTATGAGTCTCTCCAAGAGTGTCAACTACTCAACGTCTCTCCGTGCTGCGACTACCATTACGATCGTCACCAGCATCTTTTGTTGTTCTTGTCGTCATCATCATCAAATATCAACAACATCATCCATATTATCGTCACGCCACGTTCAACACCACTATGGTCAATCATTGACATAAACCATCATCATTGTCATTCACAATCTTCATCACAAACAGCAACATCCTTCACCATCAACATAAACCCCACCATCATCACACATCATCGTCGTCATCATCATCATCCATCATTTCCTTCATAGAACAAATGAACACGGGGCAAAATAAGCAACACCGACGGGTCTTCGCTGGCATCGGCTGAACTGACACCCTGAGGGTGACTTTGTGGCATTCAAAAAAAGAGACGAAAGTAATGTCGACATTACAGTGCAGGGGGATAGCGACTTGAGAGGAGGACCCGATGGCATAAAGCGAGCACAAGACGCGGGAGAGGTTCAGGAGCATCCGTCAGAGGCATTGCTGCCATTAATTGCAACGTCAACCTGATTAGTAATGATTCCGACCGGCGATGTTGACAACGCCAATGGCAAAGGCTAAAGACCTCCGGATTCCCTGGTGCGCGTGCTGACATCACACCGTCAGCGACAATTTCTATTCGTTAGGTTGATGAATACGCCGCCAACATGAAATAAAAATAATTTACTTTAATTAAATTACTTTAAAGGCTATCGGTTGTGTGTTATTCTTCCTGCGTAAGTTTACGAATCGGACCGTGTCGATGGCGTAGAGATCGGACCGGCGCATATAGGTACAGCAGCTGTTGGTGTGGACCATTTTGACAGGAAAGAAGACGTCATTTTTGCCAATCTACCATTCCTGACAAACCTCAAGATCGTCGCGAGCAACCTGTTGTGATTGCAGAATGGGCAGGTGCACTCGGTAGGGTAGCGGCAGGTGTTCACCGACGACGAGTCGAACGTATTCACGCAACATTAACGAACGTATGCCGAAACTCGGCAGATCGGGAGCGATGTGAACACAGGCAATGCGGTCATTCAGCATCTGGCTACATCTTACCCGGGCAAAAAAAACCTCTCACCTGAATTCAACAACAATAACAACAACAAAAATCTTGAAATCAAAGCCAAGAAAACAATGAGTTTGTGTAAAACACAGAGATGGCACGTTTGTGACTGTGCCAATCTAAATATTTGTCAAATATATAGCCGGGAAAAAATATGCCGCATTTATAAGCGTGTGCTTATGAGGGCAATGCCAGGTATGAAGGGTCAGCTGCTAAATAATCGATGTCTATGAGTGAGAAGCAGGCAGCAGCTGCTGCAGCTCGTGCCTCAACGCAGCTACGAAGTCCATACATTCTCTCTGTTACCTTTGTTGCGGTTGATTTCTGCAGCTTTCTCCTGTTTTTTCCCTACAGACACAAACGCACATGGAGCAACGGGTAAAATAAAAATGAGGCAACGAGACAAAACGCAGCACCGCTCGACACGCAAAGCAAACAGAGACTGCGTCAACGATGGCGACGACGATGACGACGACGATGGCGACGACGATGGCGACGACGATGGCGACGATGTGAAGACGACGAAACGCAGTCCCCGCTGGCGTGCGTGTGGGCGAACTCAGAGGTTCGACGAGTCAGCCCGATTTAGGGTCATAATTCAAGAATTATGTCTTTTATTAATGCTTTTACCATCTAATTGGTAAGCTTTCTCATGGTTTTCCCCCATCATTATAGTTCTGTGAGTTCAATGGTTGTAAATGCGACAGCACATGTAACAGCACATGTAACATGATGTGTAACACCACGTGACACCACATGTAACGTGACGTTCTACCTCACTTCTCTTTCCGCTTCTTTCCTGCACACTGCTCCACTCTGAAATTCCATCCCATCGTCTCTTTCCCGCCCCCTGCCTCCCCCCCCCCCCAGGTCTTATCACGCTGCTCAATGTATCGATAGTGAAATGTGAAATTTTACCGAGGGACTGTTTTTGTTTTGCTGCCTTGCCCAAGAGTGCATTTGGTGTGGAAAAAAATCGCCAGGAATTGATATACTTATGGAATTTGTATTTATATATTGGGTAAATTTTTTATCTGGTGACTTGCTTAGCTTTCCTATACTTTGCACTCCGACCGTGTTGTCGTATTATTTGTTGTTGTAACTTTCTGACCCCCGTGCCCCTGCTGGACATCTGTGGAAAAGAGCTTCATAGCTCATCGGATTCTTCCAGTCTAAATAAAGATTCTGGTCATGAATTCTCGTACAAAGTCGACAAGCACTGTTTGTTGCTGGACCGCTTACCACGTACGGCCTTCAGGCCTGTGCATAGCAACTTCACCTAAAAAGAAAACCAACAACAATTTCTACAATCCAGAAACGATTCTCACGCGTGCGCGATCCGGCGCCCGTGTCGCGAGTGTAAGACCCCGGTGCATCGGCGCACGTCGAACGAACGTCAAACGACACGAACAGCGACGCTAAGATGCCGGGAAACGCAGGGGAGGGGGGAGCCGGGACCTCCGCCGTTTTCAGCGACCTGCGTCCAGTGTGCGGCGCTAGCACCACAGCCGGAAAAGAAAATCTAAATTAAAATAAAACTTCCCCTCAAGAGTGTAAAGGAGAGGCCACCGCCCTGAAGGGGCCTAGTGAAAAAAATAACTAACCGCGTGCCTTGAGAGCTTTTCCTCCCGCGAAAGGGCCACAGAACTTGGGCAATTGCTGCCTTGGTTTCCCGTGCCTCTGAATTATTCACCCTCCCTCTCTCTCTCACTCGCGCGAGCGCTTTCTGAAAGTGAACGAATACTGCGCGCATTATACATTTGCGTGCGTGCGTGCGTGCGTAACCAGTCACGCACAAGCACAGGTGAAATTGGGCTCACCAACACAGAGGGGGAGAGAACTGAGTATTTATGCGGCTGCAACTTCCAGCCACTCTGTGCAAAGAGCTTCACGGAGATGGCGCGGTCGGTGCGGCTCCACGCCCGGGCTGAGTTATTAGCGATCATAGCACAAGCCGCGAGTGCAGCCGTCTCGGCTTGCTCTTCAGGTGGGACCACCTCAACTCCTCTGCGTCTAGTGGCAACGTTGGAAACTCAGGGTCCTCAGCACTACAATGAGAAGCAAGGCAAATTGTTCTCCATGTAGCCCAGGTCACCCGTGCATCTCTATGGGTTTATTCCACCTCCGAGCTGAATAAAGGACACACACACACATCTGTTAGCTATCCTTCTTACCAGCGTACACGAATGTGTGAGGGCTCCTTAGTGTCACCGCATCGTGCGGCACTTTCAGATGTACTTCTGCGGCCGCCTGGAACGCTCCTTCTTTCCGATGTTAAGAAGTCACTGGAGCTATGCACTTTTAAATCTCGATTTAAAATTCATTCATTTAGAACTGCTTGTTGTTGTGTCTAGTTTGTTGTCCTTTCCCCGCACCTTCGATAAGTATGGTTGGCTACGTACCCTGCAAAATAAGTTCAAGATACGATAACAAAAAAACTATACTTTAAATGCAGAGAAATATCCACGCGACCACGGGGAGAGAGGCATGCAAACTCCAAATATACAGGCGTCAAGTGGTCGGGATCGAACCCGCAACCTCCTGTATACCAGGCGAGGCAGTTAACACGCAAATATCGAGGAGTGTAACTTCCCATGCGCGCCGCGGGACGCGGGCGACATCGCACGGAGGGTCGCGTCAAAGTGGCGGTGGTTCAAGGGGCCCTGGGCCCCACAATGGCGTGCAGGATGCAGAGAAACAGTCTCCGGGGTGGGGGGGGGGGGGCAACGGCGCTCCCACGGCCGGCGCGTGGCACCCCTGGGCCTTGCCTAACAGGCAGGTGCTGAGCACGCTACGCAGCGGAACGTTGTCAATGGGGGGCGGGGGGGGCGAGCTCGCGGCCGATTACGGAGTTACCGAAGGCAGGCGAGCATCCTGGATCCACAAACAGCTGCAGATTACAGGAAATGATGGCGATGCAAAATCTTCAAATTATGAAAGGTTTGCGTACATTTAAATTCATATATAAAAAATAAAATTACATGTCTAAATACTATTCATGTATTTCATTGAATTTAATAGATACCTGTTAAATCTGTTATGGTTTACTAGAGCTATAAATTGGCACCAAAACCTTGCTAGGTAACGAGAAAGGAGAGTTGTGTTCCTGGGGACAGGGATGCAGGAGGTCGTTGGTTCGATCTCGGACCCTGACACCTGCAGCATATTTGGAGTTTGGCATGTTGTCCCCGTGGTCGCGTGGATTTTTCTCCGGGTCCTCCGTTTTTTTTCTTCCACATTTAGAATCAAGACGCGTTTAGAGTATTTAGCTGCGATAAATGTCCACGTGATAATCCCAATTCGTTGAGCTATCATTTGTGATGGCCAGGTCGTTTCTGAAAAAGAGATACACAGCTCAGTGGGCCTCAACTGGAACAATAATAGTTTTGTTTAGATCTATGGAATGTCTACTCACAATTCAGTTTACGCTGCAGCGTAAACCCCCAAGTAGAGGCAGTGTCGGGAAGCTTCTCCTAGCAGTGAATCGGCAAAGCTCTGCACCGCTACATTGACCCAATGTGTGTGTGTGGTATCCTTATACCGCAATGCATGAAGAAGGCCCACACTCTACTGTTGGATTCAAATGTATCGTGCACACATCGTGTCCGTGTTGTTGCCTGCCACGCCAGACTACTGAGCCACACTACGCACCTGGGCTGCTTGAGACGTATTGTCATCGTCTAGGAACAGGCGTTCGCCATGACGAGCGCACTACCTGGGGCCTGCCCAACCGTTGCTACACCGAGCCATCCGGCAGAGCCTCTGTCGCAGATACTCCTCCACCGTGTCACGGAATGTACGGAGCCAACAGCTGCAATGTTCAATTGCTTCACGAAGCGAGCACGGAATGGCCCATACAAAAGGCGAAAAATGCAATGAAAACAATGGATTAAGTGTTCATTGTCGAGTTATTTACACAAGGCAGAGCTCGAATCACGAGGTGCTATCCAAAAAACTGACACCGCTCGAGCAAAGAGCCACACGGATCCACGGCCGCATGACGAGATGCAGACGCGGTGCGAGTGTTTAGTCAGCAGGTACCCTTGTAAAAGGTATCTATTTGGTGTTTGAACATCTTCACACCTCCCGTTTCATTACCAGAAAGGTTAAAACCTATTCTTATTTTTCATACTGTGATACTGCCATAAAAAAGGCCCCAGGGTACAGCAGGCACCCGTTTGCTGGCCCTCTCTGGTGACAGCATTTGCATTCAGATTCTGTAACTGAAGATAAAACATGAAAATGCTTCGGGAGCTATCGATGATACTCCTTTGAAATCAGTATGAAGCCAACACCGGGGCTCTACATCAACGGCTTACGGAACCACTAACTCTGGAGGTTAGCTCTGTCCTCCAAATACCCATTGCTCAATGCCGTGTCACATGGCTGTGCTTGTGTTAGGGATCTGGTGTTTTACACACATGTTTAGATAGCCATTCAACAACGCCTGCCCCTCTCTAAAAAAATACACCATGTTTATGTGCCGCTGATTTAATCAGCTCTCTAGATATTTCAGTCAAATTAAATTTCTCTGCTGGTTGTGTCACAAGTGATGGATTATCCCGAGAAATGCGTCACATGCGTATGCATCGTGCTGCACGCCAGCGCCCCAGCGGCATGACTCATCCTGGTGCACTGTGTCACGCACGGCTCGATCGCATGGCGTGACAAACAACACGTACACCTCCTCCTCCACGGACAACCAGGAACACTTCCAAATCCCTTGCGCAAAATCCCACTCGCCCCCCAGGTCCGCATCACATCTCCATCGAGCTAATTTCCCGCAATCCTACCTCGGTACATTTGTTGGGAGGGCGAGAGATTTTTAGTTATTGATTTTTTTTGCAAAATCAGTTTATATTTATTTTAAAGGGATGGTATTGTAGTTGACTGGGGTGCCTCACGATCCAATCGAGATGAATTAAATGTCTACATTTGATCGTATATCAAGATTTGACTGCACTCAACCTCAAGGGCTTCAGAGTACGGGGGGAGGGGGGTATAATGAGAGAGGGAAGGGGTGGGGTTTTTTTAGTTTGCAAGGACATGGTGGGGTAAAAAGGCACCAAGACAGTATTAGGGGCAGCAGGTTTTTCCCAGTGGTAAAGCAGGCGCATCGCAGCAAGAAACCCTGGGTTTGATTCGTGACTCGGGCGCCTCTCTCTGTGAAGTGTTAAACTGTTAAAATGGAGTTTGTATGCTCTCCCAGTTATTCTGAATGGGGTTTCAGCATCTTTATTTAAACTGGACAGACCTCCAGTCTTGATCCGGGTCGTCCAGTTTTCCCTCCCACAGCTAAACACACACACACAATGTAACCGCTATTGGCCAAAACATCCCAATGCTGA